GAAAAGAAGAAGAAGAATGAAAAAGAAGAAGAAGAAGAAAATGAGAAGAAGAGAAGAAGAAGAATGAAAAGAAGAATGAAAAGAAGAAGAAAGAATGAAAAGAAGAAGAAGAAGAATGAAAAGAAGAAGAAGAAGAAAAGAAGAAGAAGAATGAAAAGAAGAAGAAGAATGAAAAGAAGAATGAAGAAGAATGAAAAGAAGAATGAAGAAGAAAAGAAGAAGAAGAATGAAAGAAGAAGAAGAATGAAAAAAATGAAAAAAAAAAGAAGAAGAATGAAAAGAAGAAGAATGAAAAGAAGAATGAAAAGAAGAAGAAGAAGAATGAAAAGAAGAAGAATGAGAAGAATGAAAAGAAGAATGAAAAGAAGAAGAAGAAGAATGAAAAGAAGAAGAAGAAGAATGAAAAGAAGAAGAAGAAGAATGAAAAGAAGAATGAAAAAAAGAAGAAGAAGAATGAAAAGAAGAAGAAGAAGAATGAAAAGAAGAAGAATGAAAAAAGAAGAATGAAAAGAAGAAGAAGAATGAAAAGAAGAAGAATGAAAAAAGAAGAAAAAGAAGAATGAAAAGAAGAAGAAGAATGAAAAGAAGAATGAAAAGAAGAAGAATTCCAGTACAGCAAAAAGTGTATCTGCAGAGAGCTCCGCTATTTCTGACAGTTCTCTGACAGTTCCTTCACATTTACAGCGGTTGAAACATTGTATCTATTTGTTTCCGAATAAAAACATCTGTATCCTAAATGGAAACAAATAGATACAATGTTTCAAACCGCTGTAAATGTGAAGGAACTGTCAGAGAACTGTCAGAAATAGCGGAGCTCTCTGCAGGGACACTTTTTTGCCGGCTGTAGAAGGGATGAAAATCGGCCGATCGGGAAAAAAATTCGATTTGCGCATCCGAAGTTTGCTAATATTCGGATTCGGTGCGAATCGAATTTTTCCTAATATTCGAAACAAATTCCACTTCACCAAGTTCGATTCGCTCATCTCTAATAATAATAAAAGAAAATACAATATGAAATTCAAAAACCCACACAACTGGAAGGAACAGAAGGCTGCAATGGAATCTAAAAATACGTCATACTAAGAACGAGTTTGTCATGTGGTTTCTCCATAACTTCCTCACTCAAATATTTTGAAAGTTTGGATTATGCAAAGAGTAGCTAGACTGTCAGATTCTTCCATGACATTGTTGTGTATCTCTGTTGTCAACTATTGAACAATGCACATGTAGAGAAGATGACTGCCTCCCCAAAACGGCAAACATTGCGAAAGATTTTCCTTCCTTATGACAAAGATGACTTTCATTACCATTCAACATATATTCTTTGTTACTCAAAACACTTAGCACATCATAGATGGAAAAGGATGGTGTACATAAATAAAATATCTTTTGAAATAATTCTGAGTTCTTTCTAAGATTCTTCTAGCCTGCAGTTGATCTCCTTCTAAGTTACTTCCAGCAGCTTTGGCATTCCCATTGATATGGAAATATAAGCATTTCCAATGTGAGAAAAGCCCATGTACACACAACATATGCTGTCTGTAGACAAGGCAAATTTCAAATAATTTCCATCACTCCCAATGATTTTTGGTTTGCAGATTGGATATATTATGGATCAAGGAATCTGTTCGCACTAGGGAGAAGACGAGCAAATCAGGAGTTGATAGCAGCAGCTGAAACTAAGCAGTGGCATTGGCCACGGAGGACACACAGATGGCTATGTGGTAGCTGGATACCTGGAGATGCTGATGGAGGGAACCCAGTGTGTCTACTCAACAGTAAGAAGTGAGAGTGCTTAGAAGGGCTGAGGTGCAGAGTTTAATGGACTGCCTTGTATTCCACCAGAGCTCCTGATGGTGGAGATGGATTTGACTGCAGGCGACGTCCAGGTTGCAGCCCTTTGACTCCCCTGAGCAGGCAGCTGCAGGGAATTCAATGTAGGTTGCTGGAGAGAGTCATTAGCAGCTCTGGGGTGTCAGGGGGTAACACAGCCAGGCAGCCAGGACAGCACAGGGCACTGGGAATGGGCTGAGGTGCACAGAATCACACAGGGATAATAGGAAACAGATTGCAAGTGTTGGGTGTGTAGTTGGCTGAAGCATTCAAGGAAATAACATTGGGAACATAGGTCACATATACTGGAATGCACTGGGTACTACAAGAGAACATGGGTCACATATACTACAATGCACTAGGTATTACAAGAGAACATGTGTCACATATACTACAATGCACTAGGTATTACAAGAGAACATGTGTCACATATACTACAATGCACTAGGTATTACAAGAGAACATGTGTCACATATACTACAATGTACTGGGTACTACAGGACATGGGTCACATATACTGGAATGCACTGGGTACTACAAAAGAACATGGATCACATATGTGGAATGCACTGGGTATTACAAGACATGGGTCACATATATACTGGAATGTACTGGGGTACTACAAGAGAACATGGGGTCACATATGCTACAATATGCACTGGGTATTACAAGTGAACATGTTTCGCATATACTGGAATGCACTGGGTACTAGAAGACATGGGTCACATATACTGGAATGCACTGGGTACTACAAGACTCGGGTCACATATACAGGCTCCACCTCCGCAACATCTCCAAAATACGTTTCTTTCCAAACCCCAGAAACTACTAAGCAACTCATTCACTCCCTTATCTCACGACTCGACTACTGCAACTCCCACCTCCACCGACCTACCTCTTGTCACAGGGCTATCTCCCGCTTCAGTCTATCCTGAACTCTGCGGCCAGAGTCATCCACCTTACCAACCGCTCCGTAATCTGCCACCCCCCTCTGTCATTCCCGTCCACTGGCTTCCAATTGCCCAATGCATAAAATTCAAATTGCTAACATTGACGTACGAAGCCATTCATAATACTGCCCCAAACTACATCACCGACCTGATATCCAAATACCACCCAACCCGTACTCTTCGCTCCTCACAAGACCTCCTACTCTCTAGCTCCCTGGTCTCCTCCTCCCATGCCCAGGCTCCCAGACTTCTCCAGGGCTTCCCCCATCCTCTGCAACTCACTACCCCTATCCATCAGACTGTCACCTACCCTCCTCAGCTTTAGGCGCACCCTGAAAACCCATCTCTTCAGGGAAGCCTACCCCGCCCTCACCTAACTGCCGATCTCCTCCACTCCTCCTACCAATCCATCCCCCACAGCCATTTCCTCCTTGTACCACTATCCCCCTCCCTTCTAGATTGTAAGCTCCAAGGAGCAGAGCCCTCGAACCCCTCGTGTATTATTGTTATTGTACTGTCTCATGTGTTGTCTCCCATTGTAATGTACAGCGCTGAGCAAACTTTTGGCGCTATATAAATACTGTATAATAATAATAATAATAATAATATACTGGAATGCACTGGGTACTACAAGAGAACATGGGTCACATATACTGGAATTTGCTGGGTACTACAAGAGAGCATTCAGGCGAACACAGGGGGTCTGTCTGCTAGCTATGTGAACAGGGGAAAGATTTGGCACTGGAACATGGAACGGGGGGGTGTAACAGGATCACGGAAACCTTCGAACAGCTAGGCTTGTATTACCTATATTGGCCCACCCAAGGAAGGCATTCCTGGGTTCTGTAACTGTTTTTTGTCCATTAGAGTTTAAAAATATTTTGTGATGGTGTAAATAATATAGGTTGTCCACGTTCCTTCCAGGGCTTCAATTGCTAAATATAAGAAGTTCAGAAGTTACAAAAAGACTCCGAATTTCACATGCTTCTTTACAAATAGTACTTCAAGGAGCCATGAAAATTCTAATATTCTACATCCAGGGGCGGATGACAACTCATGGGGCCCCCCGGGCAATAGGGGATCATGGGGCCCCTGTGTTCTTGCCCAAACTCAAAAAAGCCTATGAAAAAGGTACCAGGGATATCTCATGGGGTCCCCTACCCCGGGCCCTCGGGCAGTGCCCGAGTTTCCAAATGGTCAGTCCGCCCTGTCCACATCTAAGACTTATCTTATAAAACCAGTTTGAGACGCCTCTCCAAATTATAATTTTTAATATTTGGGGGCAACTAGCTCCTGATCACTCTGGGAAGATGTCCTCTCACTTTCTGTTTTATCTTTGGGACAGGAAGTGGAGATAATTCTCTCCAACAGCACACAGGTGGAAAAAATAATGGGTTTTTTAGGCCTTCCATACTCTATAAACAACTAAAAAAAAGTTTTGTCTACACTCTCACTTTAATGGAGGCCATTCACGGGTGTGAAACAACTGAACACAATTGATGTCCAATTCAACAATGTCTGACCTAATCAATATTTTTTTACACCACAGTTGATTAACTTGGGTCATTCAAAACCATCACTATTCATAGCTCATTGGTTGCCCATGCCATATTTTGTCCATTCAATCCATGTTTGATTCTATCACATGGTGTATGGCCACCACAAGGCTTAGTCAGAGAGCTAAACCACCATTTTTGAATAAATACGGCACATAATGCATTTTTGGAATCTTCACTTGTCCGTTTACCTTCTTCCAGCACTGACAGATAACAGCAGTCCTTCAATTTTACTAAATGATCAGTCCAGTGCCAATATCATCTTCTCTGGGTCTTTTTCCAGATTCCCACCACTCCTTTTCAACCATTGAGTTGCCACATATGTGCAGAGGATTTTTGGTCATAGAACCCCACTCCATTCTCTGTATCTATGGATACTGGGAAAGGGGCAGAAATGTACACTATACACGGCAAAATAATTGCTAGAAGTCAGGAAAAAGATGTTTTTTTTTGTGGTAGTTTTAGTGATCTATGGCAGCCTCCCTATGGTTGCACATAATCAGCTATGAAAACCCCAATCAGATTTGCCCCACTGAAAAATTAAAAAAAAAAGGAATATACAAATCTGCTTTTTATTACTCATGTGTTGTTAATATGGAAAAAGACTTTTATTGTTTTATTTTGGCAGTATTTGATAGTAATTGGTAGCATGGAATTTAAGTTAGGGCCTCATATATCCTCATATATGTTTGAATTTTCCATTCGATGGATCTTTCCTTGTGGTATTTTCTTCCGAGTTGCTGGCTGAAGAAAATGAGAACAGTTGGTTAAATTGCAATATCTTTATGTGATCTCCATTTACAGTATATGTGATCTCCATTTATATAAATGTGTCCTTGTCACAATGGACACACATGGATATTTAGATTACCAGAAATAATTTGAAACATATTAAATGAATTAGAATTGTTTTAACTGGCTTACCTCTACTACACAATACGTTGCATTTTCTCTCTCCGTAAGATCTGTATATCCAGTGTCCTATAAAAAAAGAATAGTATAAGAAAAAAAAAATTACTACTAGATTGGGAGATTTCCTAAATGAGTTTCTAAAGGACCACTCTCATGGCAAAGTGAAAATTCACGTATCTTAACCTGTCTTGTACCATAGGCATGTTACGTACGCCAACAAAATTTTTATAAAACTACAGAGGGCATACAAGTGGCTTGAGGGCAAACCTTGCTTGGGTGTCCCCATAGCAAAGCTGCTTGCTCTGGGGGGCATTTGGCAGGAGGCAGGGGCCAGGAGCACAACGGAGGAGCTTGAGAGGAGGAGAATCGGCAGGTAAGTATGACATGCTATGATTTAATTTTTTTGTCTCTAATATCATTTTAAAGTATAAGTAAAGGCAAAACTTTCTTATTTGAGTCTTGGAAAGGGTGGAGAGGGATGGCAACTGTCAGGCTTTTATTGTTCCTAAGAAGTTGGATAGTTCCCCAAGGTGATAAAAACAGCTGATTTGCCATTTTTAGATGCTGACAGTAAACGGGTATCCCCAACGGTATCAAATATCAGCTGCCTGAAGTTGTTCCAAGAGTGGCTTGAGAACCCTATGAAGATTCCGAGTATGGAGAGTAAGATCTAGAAAACCATGATAGGTGTGTCATTAAATCACATCTCCTCTAGGCTACTGGCCGCGGACATGATGGCCTCCTTCACTTTGAAGTAATGGACCCTTGATAGGACATCTCTCGGTTCGGAGTGTCTGGGGGTCTAGAGCCAAATGTATGATGGGCATGATTGATTTCCAGGGTAGAGTCTTTTGGTTTCTGAAGAAGTTGATTGAAGATAGATGTAGGGGCAGTTGGAAGATCTTTTGGAAGGACCAAATCAAGAAGTCCCCGTATGCAAATATTATTTCTTCTGTGGTTTTCAAGATTGTCGAGGTGATAAATGAGATTATGATGGCTTACTGTCTGCTCTTGAGGATTGGTCATGGTGCGCAACTGTTTTTTTGGAGAGATTGGACATCAGATGTGAACTCTTTAACCTCTGCATCTACTCTGCTAATATTTGTTGTCATAAGGCTCACCTCATGCCTGTAAGTGGTCTCAAGTCTGGCAACACAGTGTTCAAGTCTACCTTAGTAGGTAGAAGGTGTATATATGGCTTTAAATCCCAATCCTCTTCGGCATTGGGGATCAGGGAAGGTGATTTGGGAACCCCCTAAATAGCTAGAAGCAATCCAAATCTATCCAAAATGAAAAAAATGTTTTGCCTATGGTTCTACTTTAACCAGTTTTGTGCTTCCCTATGGCAGAAACACTGCTACAGGGCGGCACAGGTGCGCAAAATCACATATATGATATTTTGCAGTTCTGGGTAGGGGGCACGCGCACCCTACCTGTGCCGCCGTTCGCGGCCTTGGCTGTCCATTACTGTGCCCCAGCCGGTGATGAATCGCCAGCACCCGGTGATCGCCGAGTATCTCAGATGGGGGAGAGACCTGTGTATAAACAACACAGATCTCTCCTCTGTCAGCTCCTGCACACTGTGTTGTATGGCTCTGCATAGCAGAGCCATACAAAGCAGTGAGCTTACAGTGAATCACACACACAGCCTAAGTAGTGAAACAACACACAGTTAACCCTTTGATCGCCCCAGATTTTAACCCCTTCCTGCCCAGTGCCATTAGTACAGTGTCAGTGCTTCTTATTAGCACTGATAACTGTATTGGTGTCACCGGGGATATCAGTGACACCAAGTCAGTTCCCCCCCAGTGTCAGAATGTCCGCCGCAGTCCCACAGTCCCGCTATAAGTCGCTGATTGCCACCATTACTAGTAAAAAAAAAAAATTCCAGTATATATACCGCCATTTGTAAACGCTATAACTCATACCTAAACCAATAATTTACATGTATTGGGATTTTTTTTTAGAAAAGACATGTAGCAGAATACATCTTGGCCTAAATTTATGATGACATTTTATTTTTAAAGTTTTTTTTACTGGATGTGTTTAATAGCAAAAAGTCCAAAAATGTTTTTTTTTGGTCAAAATCGTCGGTCTTTTTTATTTATAGTGCCAAAAAATTTAAACAGCAGAGGCGATCAAATACCACCTGTGATGGGAATCACTTTGGGTGGGGGGCCCATGGAACCAAGCTCACTTTGGAGAGGTGGGGAGACCCCTGTCTCAGCTCCCCATATCCCTATTATGTGTAAGTCACCCTGTGCCTGTTAGGGTTACAGGGTGATCTATCCTATTATTAGGATGGGGGGTTGTAGATTGTTTAATGCCATGTGGTTGCATCCCATTGTTCTATTGTGTGTCTTGCTTGGGAGCAAACTATTATGGGATGTATGTGTTTATGGGTATTGGCTTGGTGGGGTGTGTCTTCAGCAGCCCTCCCTCCTGATGGGACTGTCTGTTGGTGTGCCCCTTGTTACTATATGTAGATTGCCCTGCCCTGTGTCATTATGCAGGGAGGGGGGTTGTTCCCTTTGAGTGTATATATCTTGTATCTGTGTTAAAATAAACTAGTCTGCTTTCTGGATTACTTCAAGATTGGTGTTGTCTAGTCTTTTATGGTCAGCTGTGGTGTCTGTTGTCAGTGTTCAGATGGGGTAGTACCCAAGCGCAGTCTGGGGTCGGTTCCGTTACACCACAAAAAGAAAGCTCTATTTGTGGGAACAAAGGGACGTAAATTTAATTTGGGTGTAATTGTCAGTTAAATTAACACAGCTCCGTATCGCAAAAAATGGCCTGGTCAGGAAGGGGGGAAATCTTCTGGAGGGCAAGTGGTTAAGTGAACATAATGAACAGTCTCTACATCTTCCATATATCAGTCAGTTGCATTGATTTTCAAAATAAAAAAAGAATTCAAAAATATGGTTAAAATACCAACTTTGCAATATGCTGAAGCAAAATGGGAAAGAATGATGAAATACAGAGTTATGGAGAAATTGAGACATTTATTAAGAAAAATTACACCATCCAAATGCAACTTCCTTTTCCACTGTTTCTTTACTGTGAGTTAAAGTAACAAATAGATGAATAATGTATCTAATAAAAAAACAGTAAGCTGGGTTGAATAAAAGACACATATTCATCTTCAAGCAATAGAGGGAAAAATAAATTGAATAAATAAATTGAAAACCTTCATATATTCATGTACGGAACTCTATACTCCCAGTTGATCCAGAGGAAGGCAAAAGAAATTTCTATAAAGATATACAGTCACCCTTTACAAGCTTACCATACATTGTTACAATATTCTAAACAATGTTAGCACCATTAAAGTTTTAAGATTTTCCCTACGGCTAATGTAGTTTTGCATCTAATAACCATAAGGCTTGGTGGTACTTTGGGTGCCAGACGTTGTGCATCTATAGGCCCCGGTCAGGGGCGGACTGACAACTCATGGGGCCCCCGAGCAATAGGGGATCATGGGGCCCCTGTGTCCTTGCCCAAACTAAAAAAAGCCTATGAAAAAGGTACCAGGGGCATCTCATGGGGCCCCCTACTGACCCCAGGCCCTCGGGCAGTGCCCGAACTTCCAAATGGTCAGTCCGCCCCTGGCCCCAGTGATGGAAATCTAAAAGGTTCTAAAAGTGGATCTATCATTAACTTACATTGGATCCAGGGGCAGACTGACCATTCAAGCACTCGGGCACCGCCCGAGGGCCTGGGGTCAGTAGGGGGCCCCATGAAATGCCCATGGTACCTTTTTCATAGGCTTTTTTGAGTGTGGGCAAGGACACAGGGGCCCCATGATCCCCTATTGCCCGGGGGCCCCATGAGTTGTCAGTCTGCTCCTGATTGGATCCATCCCAAGATGAATTAAATCAATCCAGCAGTCTCTTGTAAAAAGAAGATGAACCTTCCTGGCAGATGGTAAGTTACACCTTTACTCTGTTGAAGAGCTCTGGGCACCACGGTTATTGGACCCATCCATGTGTGTTGGATAGCATGCCCCCGACAGGGCGCAGTGATTTTGAATGCCGACTCCTAATTCTCTATATATTGCCAGCATGCCATAGATTTTGAAAAAGATGTTCAAAAAAGTATTTGGAACATCATATCCCAGTGGTAAAGGGTTTTTTCAGGAAAAAGCAAGACCCCTTTGTGTGATCATGTGATCATACTTGACAAAGGGGTCCTGCATGGCTCCAAATTGTTACACTTGTTACTACTGTGATGTCATCTCTTGAAAAAATGTTTGGACAGCATTTTCAAGATCCACTGTGCGCTTAGGTTTCATGTACATTGCTGCTCCTTTAGAAGCTTTTGGTGTTTTTTTGCCAAAGCTCCTGAACTCAATAAAAGCCTATGTGTCCATGTACATACAGGCTTTTACCAGCGTTTAGGGGGCAATTAAACCTCCCTAGTGGTCTGACTATGTCAGTATTTCTGTGCTGAAAGCGGTACATTTTTTTGCATGGAAATATGTTGTTTTTCTATTGTAGGCCTGTTATTTTTAGGAATAACTCACTGAAATCTGTCCGAACAAGAGTCTAGTAAACATCCCGGGGATGATAAAATTTGAAACACGAAATCATAAATTATAATTTAATAAATAATCATAAAAAATAATAATATAATAATAAATAAATGTAATTCAATAATATAATCAAACCAAAAACACTGAAATTTGAAATAGAGCGCCAAGTTCACACATCGCTGATCTCTCTGTACCCCTAACAGGCACAGGGTGACTTACACATAAGAGGGATATGGGGAGCTGAGACAGGGGTCTCCCCACCTCTCCAAAGTGAGCTGGGTTCCATGGGCCCCCCCACCAAAAGTGACTCCCGTTACAGTGCATGAGGACTAAGACACAGTAGTGATGTAGAGGTCGTGTGAGGATCCATAGTGACCAATTGGAGGACATGCTATTAACATACCCAGAAATGTTGGATATCAGCTATGCCGAGACGTCTACAAGAGAATGAAGTTTATCTCACTATAAATATTCATCTTCTTCTCTTGCAGGCTACATTTTACTTGGGTGAATAAGTGACAGGGTCACTATAGGTGAAGGTACCTATTCAACCAGTCAGAATGTACCTTCTATTGGTCTTTGATGGACCTTAACATGGTGGATTTTATTGATGATGCACCTTAGAACTTTGGAATTAAAAACATTTTTTTGAGCAAGCTGGGTTTTGTTGCCTTCAGATGCACTCACCTTGGTGTCTTTTGAATAATTTTTTCTTAGAAATGAATTAGAAGCTCTGGATGTGGAAGCTTTGTTACCTAGAAGAAATCTTAAACAAAGAGAAGGGTTTGGCGTCATTTGTAGAGAGAACCTGGCAGTATGTTTTTGTGGGTAAAAGGCAGAAGCTTTGCTATTTAGCAACACCATGACAAATGATTGTGATAAAATGTCAGTGGAAAAGGAAGTAACAAACTTTTAGTACTGTGCTATGGCCCAAAGTCGTGATATACTTCCTGAAAAAACTTTTATGTGTTTATAAGGTACTAAGAAAATGTCTTTATAAAGAAAAAATGTTGCAAGTGCAAAAGACGAGACAAAAACACCAGCCACGGCTTAAAGTAGATTTCTAACTAACTAGTCCCCCTACTATCACCTATGCTGACCAACCTAAACAATAAAAATGTATCTGCAGTACTTACCTATTTTCAGCCCGGTCCAGTCTGGTCACGTGATCCGGCTCCCCTATGTCTTTCAGCTACAGCTGCAGGGGAGAGCTGGGAGCGCCAACAACAGATGGGCCGTAGGAGCCTATAAGTGATGTCATCGCTCCCAGGCTTTACCAGACATTAATGAGCGCTCTATCCTCTTCCCTGCAGCTGCACTGATTGACACAGGGGATCATGTGACCAGAATGGACTGAAAAAAACAAGTGCTATGGGAATGGAAGGGCAGCTTCAAATTGAAGGTGAGTATGGCAGCAAAGGCTTCTTTTTATCTTATCTCTGATAGGCTATTTTGTTTATTTATTTTTGACCGGTGCTCTTTTTTAAAGATCATGGAGGAACCTGGATGTTGCGTATTGAAAATGTTAGTTGCATGGGTCTCATGTGGACCACTTGGACTCAATATTGGTCTCAGTACTGTTTGGACCTAAAGAAGCAGCTAGGAACTGAGCGATCAAAGACCGCTGATCACTCAGTTCTCTTCAGTGAACAGAGAGAAGCGACTGCCAGTCACTGCGCCTCTGCTCTGCCCCCCCCCCCAGTGCTCACTGGAGTAGCTGGCTCAGGCTCAGAAGTCTGAGCCAGCCTCTGGTCCAGGCAGCTGGATGGATCCCAACTTTAAAGTTGGAGTCTTTCCAGAGCCTGGATGGGCTGAGTCACGGCAAACCAAAAGCAAGCTTTATCCAGGTCACAGGAGAGCAGAACAAAGAGCACTTCTGCGATCCTTAGGAGAAATAGGGCCAAAATAGCTTTGGCCATGCATCTCCTTTAAGGCATTGGTACTTGTCCTTCGTCACTTCCCATACCTTTTGTTTGACAATATCTTACTTATTAGCCTTAGAAATGGCCACAATAACTGCCCCCCCTTTCATGCACTATTGTGGGGTTCACTGCAAAGTTCTCAAACTTCAATAAAATTTTGTACGAAACACTGGGAATTTTTTGCTCATTCCTAGGCATAATGAAGGGACTATGAGCTGAAAAAAAGGTTGCCTTCCTGCTGTTGGATCCATTGCGTCAATTAATACGTTGTGTAATATTGTGTAATTGTGTCAAGTATTTCTTTGATTCTTTTTTTTCTGTGGGTTTTGTGCATATTACTGCTAAGTGATAGGAGTTTTATTATACTGTACCTCCAAATAAAGAAGGCGATCAATGACAATGAGATTACGCATGCAACGGCAATAATCGCCCTAAAATCTCTGTTCGAATTTTTTTCTGCTGTAAAAAAAAAAAACAAAAAAATTGTTATCACCTTTACTTGGTCAATTTTCCCTCCATATTTGACATCATTTGTCAGCTGACTTAGCCATCATTAAATTTTGTTTATTTCATAATTGACATAATCGACATGATCATTGTATCCACTAGTTGTATCATCAGCTGTCAATGTTGTAGTTATGACTATGCTGTATATTTTTGGTATGGTAGCCCTCTGACTTCCAAGCATTTTCATGCTCCATTATGTAAAATACATTTTCATCACTATCATTTTAAAAGTTTTATTTTAGGTAGGTTGGTTTCCAGATTTGTTGGTTGTCAGTGTTTTGCATTCGGCACCAAAAAACAAGGAAATGTGTATAACAATGGCCCTGACTACCACCCTGTCACTAACCATTAACCTGACCCAATCATGCAAAGTGGAGGACCCAAATACTAAAATCTCATACAAGCTTTAACATTTTATTAACATTTTTAATCTTTTTTAAATTGGCATCTTTTATTTAAATAATAATTCCAGGTGATCCTATCATGAAGGTCCTTGTTACGGTACTGGATTTGAACCCAGGACCTCTGCTGTGGGGGAGGGGGTAGTACTGCTCCTTGTTGAGCTACCTGGAATGTTGGATATGTCCCAGTACAGATCTTTGGATGATCCTGTCTTGAACCTTGTTTTGAACCTTGAACTTTTTGCTCCTCCTATGCACTTCCTGATTTAAGTCATGTCTATGCACTTCTTGTTGCCATATTTTTGTACTCCTCTCAGTATTTCTATCTGCAGCCCCAAGCTACCACTATTAGCATTTGAAATCGACCTTGACTTGTAACCCCCACTACATAATTCCATAATTCTCTCCTGTATCGATCTTGGCTCTTGGCTTGTGACCCCGACTATGAAACTCTTCTCGTGCATCGACCTTGGCTTGTGACCCCAACTACGAAACTCTTCTTGTGCATAGACCTTGGCTTGTGACCTCAACTATGAAAATCTTCTCCTGCATAGACCTTGGTTTGTGACCCCAACTATTAAACTCTTCTCGTGCATCGACCTTGGCTTGTGACCCCAACTATGAAACTCTTCTCGTGCATCGACCTTGGCTTGTGACCCCCAACTATGAAACTCTTCTCGTGCATAGACCTTGGCTTGTGACCCCAACTATGAAATTCTTCTTGTGCATCGACCTTGGCTTGTGACCCCAACTATGAAACTCTTCTCGTGCATCGACCTTGGCTTGTGACCCCAACTATGAAACTCTTCTCGTGCATCGACCTTGGCTTGTGACCCCAACTATGAAACTATTCTTGTGCATCGACCTTGGCTTGTGACCCCAACTATGAAACTCTTCTCGTGCATCGACCTTGGCTTGTGACCCCAACTATTAAACTCTTCTCGTGCATCGACCTTGGCTTGTGACCCCAACTATGAAACTCTTCTCGTGCATCGACCTTGGCTTGTGACCCCAACTATGAAACTCTTCTCGTGCATAGACCTTGGCTTGTGACCCCAACTATGAAATTCTTCTTGTGCATCGACCTTGGCTTGTGACCCCAACTATGAAACTCTTCTCGTGCATCGACCTTGGCTTGTGACCCCAACTATGAAACTCTTCTCGTGCATCGACCTTGGCTTGTGACCCCAACTATGAAACTATTCTTGTGCATCGACCTTGGCTTGTGACCCCAACTATGAAACTCTTCTCGTGCATCGACCTTGGCTTGTGACCCCAACTATTAAACTCTTCTCGTGCATCGACCTTGGCTTGTGACCCCAACTATGAAACTCTTCTCGTGCATCGACCTTGGCTTGTGACCCCCAACTATGAAACTCTTCTCGTGCATAGACCTTGGCTTGTGACCCCAACTATGAAATTCTTCTTGTGCATCGACCTTGGCTTGTGACCCCAACTATGAAACTCTTCTCGTGCATCGACCTTGGCTTGTGACCCCAACTATGAAACTCTTCTCGTGCATCGACCTTGGCTTGTGACCCCAACTATGAAACTATTCTTGTGCATTGACCTTGGCTTGTGACCCCAACTATGAAACTCTTCTTGTGCATCGACCTTGGTTTGTGAACCCAACTATAAAACTCTTCTCCTGCATAGACCTTGGCTTGTGACTCCAATTATGAAACTCTTCTTGTGCATCGACCTTGGCTTGTGACCCCAACTATGAAACTCTTCTTGTGCATCAACCTTGGCTTGTGACTCCGACTATGAAACTCTTCTCGTGCATCGACCTTGGCTTGTGACCCCAACTACGAAACTCTTCTCGTGCATAGACTTGGCTTGTGACCTCAACTATGAAACTCTTCTCCTGCATTGACCTTGGCTTGTGACCCCAACTATGAAACTCTTCTCGTGCATCGACCTTGGCTTGTGACCCCCACTACGAAATTTTTCTCCTGCTTGACCTTGACTTTGACCGCCACCACAAAAAATTTTTTCTCCTGCATCGACCTTGGCTTGTGACCCCAACTATGAAACTCTTCTCGTGCATAGACCTTGGCTTGTGACCTCGACTATGAAACTCTTCTCCTGCATTGACCTTGGCTTGTGACCCCAACTATGAAACTCTTCTCGTGCATCGACCATGGCTAATGACTATGACACCTATCATCTGTCTAGCGGTTCAAACAATTCAACCTCTTAAGAACCGTGAATGGTACTTAGCATGATGTTCTCAGCAATTGGTCTCCACTGTCTACAGGTATTTTTCTAACACATTTCCTGTTACAGGTTGTCATTGTTCTGGCTCTGTCTTCCAGTTGTGCTTCTGCATAGTCATTTTATCACATAAGCACTTGGTGGAGACTACAAACAGCCATGCCAACACACATTACGCAGGCATGGACCACCATTGTCACAGGAAGCCGGTTCATAGTAGTGTTGGGTGGCCAACACTGGAATTGGAGCATGTATATAGGAAGTGGCTGAAAGAGGAAAGAGGAACCACTGACAAGCCCCAAAAGAGGAAAGAAGTTGAAAATAATATCTTTACCAATAAATGTTACCAACAAACTAATATCTAAGACTCTACCACAGTCATACGTTGACTAACTTACTGTTAATAATGTTGAGCTTAGCTTCAGTTTGACTTGTTTGCCCGTTAAAGAAAATTGCAATACACAGGATGCCTGAACCCTTATGATCTCTAGAGGGTACATAGGTTAGTTCAGATGTTTTCAGATACTTCCCCTTCTCAAGGGTCTTGTTATACTCTGTCACAGGCAAACCTGAGATGTTCCAGTTCAAAAACGGTGGACTGGTGGCACAGGTATGTTCTACAGAACAGTTGATCAGAGTTGGCATTCCTTCGACTATCTCTCCAGGCATGGACAACACCGGCTGAGGCGGAACATCTATGGAAGAAGTTCAAAGAGTTATGGATAAATGTTATGTTTAAACATTTCTGAAGAAAAGTAAAGATTGAAAGTCCGCAACTGAAAAAAATCAAACTATGAGATACAGTGATTATTAATGTGATGAAATGTTTGAACTGCGACAAGAACAGGAGTACCGCTTAGTTCAGGTATTCATTGAATACAGGACCATTCTTGGAGGCAAAGTTCCTACACGTCTGGCTAGTACTGGAGCGTGCCTATAGGCCTGCCCTTAGCATTTCTAATAACAATTCACTAGGATGGACAGCATTACTGGCAATTAGGATTACACAGGAGGCAAGAAGGGATGGGAAAGCTTCAGCAGTACCAGAATGTGTCATATCTTTTTGAGAAAAGCCTTGTATTTGGCTCAGAAATAGAAGGGTTTTGGAGGCCACTAAAGGTATGCACACAGGGTGGACTGACCATTCAGAAACTCGGGCACTGTCCGAGGGCCTGGGATCAGTAAGGGGCCCCATGACATGCCCCTAGTACCTTTCATATACTTTTTTGGGTGTAGTTTGAGTGTGGGTGTGGACACAGGGGCCCCATGATCCCCTATTGCCCGGGGGCCCCATGAGTTGTCAGTTTGCCCCTCTATGCACCCCTGTATATGCCTACACTTCAAGGCATTTCACTTAAATAAAAGTGAGTTTTGGGCATGCTTTAACCACTTCCCGTCCAGCCTCTGTATATAAACGGCCGGATGGTGGCAGTGCAGGGGGGGGCGGGTTGCCATTCATAAACGGCGCCCGCCATTTTGGTTCATGCACGCTATCTGGGAGCACATGGCACCGTGATCTGGTGCCCGCTGTGAATACCAATGCTGTACGGGACCTCTGTGTGAGGTCCCGATCATGTGATCACTGATTGGCCAATGAGTGATCACATGAATGGGTGTAAGCAAGATGTCATTTCTGATATCATTGCTTACTACGTGTGAAATCTGTGAATGATCACAGAGGTCACATGGTACAAGGCTATTCACAACAAAAATGCCGCCCTAGGCAAATGCTTTATTTGCCTCTGATTCCTGGATTAAGAGGATATATCTAAGAGGGGCTGGGATTTCAATACTTCTTAACGACTTCCCATCAGGCCCATGTATATAAACGGCTGGACGGGAGCAGTGCAGGGGTGGGTGGCCGTTTATAAATGGCTTCCCTGCCCCCTGCTTGTGTGCACTCCCTGGGAGCGTGCAGAACCGCGATCCGGTGCCCGCTGTGTCCTCCAGACACAGTGGAACACCAATCGTGGTACGGGACCTCTGTGTGAGGTCCCGATCATGTGATCACTGATTGGCCAATCAGTGATCACATGAATAGGTGTAAGCAAGATGTCACTTCTGACATCATTGCTTACTAGGTGTGAAATCTGTGAATGATCACAGAGATCACATAGTACAGGACTATTCACAACAGCCTTGTACCATGTGACAAGCTGTGACCAATCACAGCTCACACAGTATTTCTCAATGGCTGCAAGAATGCAGCCTAAGAGATGGAGAAATGATTGCTGTTACAGCCTTTATCGGTGTAAAAGCAATCAGTGTAAAAAAAAATAAATTAAAAGAATCTTCATCACCCCCCACAAGTAATACAGTGTCACCATGGTGACACTGTACTGCTAGGGTGATAGTATGTAAAAAAAAAAATAATAATAATATTAAAAAAAAATAAAAATGCACAAAACTTTTTTTGAAAAATTGGGTTACTGGAAGACAAATTTGCTAAATCACTGTCATCAATTATTTCCATAAACAAAACATTTTTGGTTATAAACTAATTTGGGTTATTTTTCTTTTACTAAAAAGATAACTGAATACATTTTGGCCAAGATTTATGAAGAAAGATTATTTATTTGCAAATTTTTATAAGAAAAACAGTTTTTCTTCAAAATTTTGGGATATTTTCATTTATATAGCAAAAAAAAATTAAAATCCCAGTGGTGAATAAATACCACCAAAATAAAGTTTTATCTGTCTCAAAAAAATGCTAAAAAATTCATATGAGTACAGTGTTGCATGACCGCGCAATTGTCATTGAAAGTGTGACGGCGCTGAAAGCTGAAAATTGTCCTGGACAGTAAGGGGGTGAAGTGTCCGGAGGGGGGGTGAAAGTGTCCGGACTTGAAGTGGTTAAAATGTACAGTTGGTCAACGCCAAAACATATATGGGTCACCTCAAAGACCCTGGTGCCTAGCCTGTGTCCTTAACCTCCTCGGTGTTATGATTCTTTCCGATTTTTTGTGCTGAAAGCGGTACCATTTTTTTTTGCATAGAAATATGTAGTTTTTTTATTGTAGGCTGTAATTTTTAGGAATAACTCACTCGGAAATCTGTCCGAACAAGAGTCTAGTAAACATTCCGGATATGATAAAACTTGAAACACGAAATCATAAATTATAATATAATAAATAATCATAAAAAATAATAATATAATAATAATAAATTTAATTCAATAATATAATCAAACCAAAAACACTGAAATTTGAAATACAGAGGCAAATTCGCACATCGTTGAGCAAAGTCGCAAAATCATTTTCAGTGTCTGATGACGAATTTCCCCCACAAATCATTATCACTCAATTCTGCAAGTGGTTCTGATTTACTATCGCTGTTCTCTAGCCGGTCTAAAACCACTTTTAACGTAAAGGGACGCTTTTTGGACGCCATGGACTTTTCTAAGTTTCCAGGCAGAAAGAACAGTCAAAATGCAGGCAGAGCGCCGGACAAAGCACTCGGGACAAAATGTATGTGAAATGCATTGAAACAGCAATGACAGCAAAAATGACATTTTTTAAAATTTTCGAATTTTCCCCTTCGGTTCCGGTGCCCGTACATCCCGACGTCACAGGGACCAGAACACGGAAGCCGGATGCCGGCATCGGCCAGAGGAGATGGCCGGGGACGCTGCAGGGGACACATCGTGGGAGCGAAGGACAAGGTAAGTGCTGCAGGGACCCCCGGAGAACGCCGCATGGTAAGCTCCGAGTGTAGCTCGGGTTACCGCTCTTGGTACTGAAATTTTACCCCGAGCTACACTCGGGAATACCGCTAAGGAGGTTAATGCCAAAAGTCCGCTTGGTACTTGTGAGGCCCTAAGGCCTTCACAACCATGTACATGTGTACCTGGAAAATGTTTGAGGTTATTGTTCCTCAGAAGAACATGACACAAAATAGAATGTTCAATAGTTTTTTTTACCTGTAACCCGTAACTGAACAGACTCCGAAACCTTTGCACGAAGCGAAAACTTCCTGCTGCCTGGATAATACTCCTTTCATCTTTTTGCTGCACTTTATGAATTCGGAGACTGCAGCTGTCCTCTGGACTGCCTATTAGGGCCGCTCGGTTTTTATACTCTGATGATATTTCAGAAGGATTTGAGCTGTATATAATCCTGGAACCAAAAGTACTCCTCGTTACGCGCCACACACACCTTATCGTTCTTCGGCTCTGTTGCAGAGGTTCTGATCGTACAAGGGATCTCCACACAGGAGCCAATCAATGCTTGGATCTCAGATGGGAAATTAAATTCCTTTTGCTGAACAGTGTAAATTGCTGTTGAACAAGAGAAAAAAAATAAATAATTTTGAGATTGTATCTGTGAATCAAAAAATGTGAGTTAAAATTAAAATGCTTCTTTTATATCATGCATCCTTTCCTAGTAAGAATTGAACATGTTCTGTTAGTCGATCCTGCTCAGATACTCACACACTGTAGTTAGTAGCAGACATTTTATTAGGTGCTCATAGCTGCCATTAAACATGTGACTGCTTTTTTAGAACTACAACCAAAGAGACACAATAACACAGTTGTACCAGTATCTAAGTAGTGAGACCCCTAGAGGCCATACACAGCATATAACATATTGCTACAGAACATAGTGGAAAAGTAGAAATAATATCCTTAGATCTAAACCCGAACTGGATATTATCCAGGGAATGAAACGATACATGTTTTGATAATATGCTTAGGTTTTAATGAGTATGTTTGTACAACTTGTTTATCTGAAAAATTAATAAACATTTAAATTAAAAAAAAAAAAAAGAAAAATAAACCCTAACTGGAAGACAAATTTGTTAAATCACTGTCATCAATTATTACCATAAACAAAACATTTGTCAATCATTTCTTATTTCTTATTGCATCTCAGTGCTGCTGATCTCCCCAAGCTTCTTGTAATTACTTCCAGTCCACATGCACTACCTCCAGCATGGGCTGCACATCATTGGCCTAGACTGGCTTCCTAATTGCATGAAACATGCCTGCACAATCTGTGTTGGCATGGCAGCTAGTACCCACATGGAAGAAAAATATATTTTAAATATACTTTAAAAATATTCTTCCCAAATATATTGGCATATATTTGAAATACTACAATTTCGGTCGTATTCAATATATTTAAAAATAAATAAATATATTAATTATATATATATATATATATATATATATATATATATATATAAAAAGAAATGAGCAAATTGGCTGGTTGGCCTGAAAATATGATGGCAAATCAGTGGCTGCAAATCATATATATATATATATATATATATATACAGTACACACATATATAATATAATATTTGAAATACTAAAATTTTGCCAGTATGCAATATATCTCAAAATATATTGAAATAAATATATCTATATATATATTGAAATAATAATAAGAAAATAATAATAAATAATAAAAAAAATACTAAAATAATATATATATATTTGAAATACATATCATATCTATATATATATATATATATATATATATATATAGATATATATATATATATAAAAGAAATGAGCAAATTGGCTGCTTGGCCTGAAAATATGATGGCAAATCAGTGGCTGCAAATCATATATATATATATATATATATATATATATATATACAGTACACACATATATAATATAATATTTGAAATACTAAAATTTTGCCAGTATGCAATATATTTCAAAATATATTGAAATAAATATATCTATATATATATTGAAATAATAATAATAATAATAATAATAATAATAAAATAATAATAAATAATAAAATAAATATTAAAATAATATATATATTGAAATAAATATATATCTATCTATCTATCTATCTATCTATCTATCTATCTATCTATCTATCTATATATATATATATATATATATATATATATACTGTATATGTATACACTGTATGCTGAAATGCATTTTTTATTACACAATATATGAAAAATATTTTTAAAAATAAATTTTCAAATATACTGTATGTCTTTAAAAATACATTTAATCTACATCTTTGGAATGCATTTACAAATATATGTAAAAAATATATGTTAAAATCACTTTTTTATATGTTAAAAAAAAATCAGAAGAGTATATTTAAAAAAGACATATTTTAAAAATATTTTTCATATATTTTGTAATATATTAAAACGCATTTCAAGATGCAGTATATGTATATATATGAAAAGATAAAATCAAATATTTACAAAAATTTGAGGGGTGGACTCACTTCTGGGAGATACTGTATATATATATATATATATATATATATATATATATATATATATATATATATATATATATATATGATTTGCAGCCACTGATTTGCCATCATATTTTCAGGCCAACCAGCCAATTTGCTCATTTCGTTTTCTGAGTGTCTCCTTTGAGTGTTGGATGTTCTTGGTGAAAGGCCATAAAAACTACAAACATCTGCAATGGCGCTGAGTAAAAGTTTAATTGTTACCTGCCACCCTTCTATTCCTTTTTTATTTTTAATTCTTTATTCAATCATGGAATTCAACAAAATAATCCACAAAACAGCCCTACACATATTACAATATCAGGTAACAACGTACAGTATGTCTCAGTGAATGCAGTAGGCTGTATGACCCAGCAAAGAGGAATTTGCAAAAAAATGGCAAATTCCACCACATCTTATAGGAAACAACAATACACATGCAATAGTGTATAAAACACAGAAAAAAGGTATTGATCAGAGATTACAGCGGAGGATGGGGCTATTAGAGTGGGGGTGAAGAGGAAAAAATGGAATGGTGGGAGAAGGGGGAGTGGAAAGATAGGAATGGGGAGGGAAGGACAAAGAGGACAGGAAAGACGGGGGGGGGGGGGGGGGGGGGGGGATATGGGTCAGTAACTGTCGCCTTTTGGATGGTCCCAACCACAAAATCTATCACACCTATTACCTGGTGTATCAGGAACTGGAGGGCATAGTAAGACTGAGAGGCAAGGGGAGTCTGGTCCCGCTAGAAGAAATAGGTGGTCCCAGGGCTTTTTTTCTCAGATAATAGGTGCAGGAACTCGCCCTTTCCAAGTCACCCCTTATCTCTGCCCCCTACCCACCCCCGAGCACTGTTCCTTGGTTTCACTCCCTACCTATCTCCCAGTATCACCCTACAGAACCGAGTATCATTTTGTGGTGCTAAATCATTTGTATGGAATTTGTTAATGATATCAAGAAAAGCAGTAAAATAGATCCCCTGTAGCCAGCAAAAATAGACCCCCCCCCCCAGCAACAATAGATTCCCCTCCAGCAACAAAAGATTCCCCTAGATTCTCTCCTCAGCCAGCATCAATAGTCCAGCAATCAGTAATAATAACCTCTCTCTCAACAGTAGATCCATCCATCCCATCAACAAATGACCCCCAGCAACAAGAGATTCCCCACCAGCATCAATAGACCTCCCCAGCACAATAGACCCCCCCGTAATAATAGATCCCCAGCAGCCAGCATCAATAGACCACCCTCCAGTGACAATATGTTCTTCTAGAAACAAGGGATTCCCCTAAGCCAGTATGAATAGACCCTCCAGCAATCAGCAATACTATATCCCTCTCTCAATAGTAGATCCACCCCATCAACAATTAACCCCCCCCAACAACAACATATCCCCCACCAGCATCAATAGACCTCCCCAGCACAATAACCCCCTGCAACAATAGATTCCCCTAGCAACAACGGATCCCCCTTCAGCCAGCATCAATAGACCCTCCAGCAATCATCAATAATAGACCCCTCTCTCAACAGGAGATTCATCACATCAACAATTAACACCCCAGCAACAAATGATCCCCCATCAGCATAAAAAGACCTCCCCAAGCACAACAGACCCCCTGCAACAATAGATCCCCAGCAGCCAGCATCAATAGACCCCCCTCCAGTGACAATATATTCTCCTAGCATCAACGGATTCCCCTAAGCCAGCATCAATAGAGCCTCCAGAAATCAGCAATAGTAGACCCCTCTCTCAACAGTAGATCCATCCCATCAACAATTAACGCCCCAGCAACAACAGATCCCTCACTAGCATCAATAGACCTCCCCAGCACAATAACCACCCATGCAACAATAGATCCCCAGCAGCCAGCATCAATAGACCCCCCTACAGCAACAACATATTCCCCTAGTAACAACAGATTCCCCCTCAGCCAGCATCAATAAACCCTCCAGCAATCAGCAAAAATAACCTCTCTCTCAACAGTAGATCCATCCCATCAACAATTAACCCCCCAGAAATAACTTATCCCCTACCAGGATCAATAGACCTCCCCAGCACAATAACCCCCCCTGCAACAATAGATCTCCAGCAGCCAGCATCAATAGACCCCCTCCAGTGACAATAGATTCTCCTAGCATCAACAGATTCCCCTAAGCCAGCATCAATAGAGCCTCCAGAAATCAGCAATAATAGACCCCCTCTCTCAACAGTAGATCCATCCCATCAACAATTAACACCCCAGCAACAACAGATCCCTCACTAGCATCAATAGACCTCCCCAGCACAATAACCACCCATGCAACAATAGATCCCCAGCAGCCAGCATCAATAGACCCCCCTACAGCAACAACATATTCCCCTAGTAACAACAGATTCCCCCTCAGCCAGCATCAATAAACCCTCCAGCAATCAGCAAAAATAACCTCTCTCTCAACAGTAGATCCATCCCATCAACAATTAACCCCCCAGAAATAACTTATCCCCTACCAGGATCAATAGACCTCCCTAGCATAATAGACCCCCCCCCCACAATAGTTCCCAACAGCCAGCATCAATAGACCCTCCAACACACTCCATCCCTTGCCATTGCATACATTCAGTGCTGGAGTTGCCGGAACTGCGTTCCCATTGAAAAAAAAACCTTGGGGGGTCCAAATCTTCCAATATTTGTTGTCCTGTTCTCTCAAGATCATAGCAAGGCTTTCCATTTCCTGGATGTCTGAGACTTCCACCACACCAATGGGCTATTGTGGAGGATCTTGTACTTTTCCACAATGCCGGTATACAGGCCCTGGCTGCCGGTAGGAAATGTTTAAGTAGAAGATGTTTACATTTCTTGTTGGGTAAATGGGGTGTCATTCAAAGGGTATGCAGCCGGGTTCTTGTGAAGGGAGACTCCTGTCAGGGTCTGCATCCTTTTCTCTATGTCATCCCAGAAACCAGCTAGTTTCGGACACAAAAACCAAAAGATGTATGAGAGTTCCTTCAGATTCCACCCTTCTATCCTTGACTTCTGTACTCAGGGCCGTGGATAAGGGGGTACCACCAGTCCTCCTGTACGGGGCCCAGACCAGCAGGGGGTCCTGGGCAGCTGGGTGAATCGAATGTGGCCAGGGCCGTGGATAAGGGGGTACCACCAGTCCTCCTGTACGGGTCCCAGACCAGCAGGGGGGCCCAGGCAGCTGGGTGAATCAAATGTGGGCAGGGAGGGTGATCGACAGGACAAGGGCAATTACTGGAACCCATCCCCTCTGTGGCTCTCTCTGCAGCAGCTGAAAGCTGGCTTCTTCTTCTCTCCCTCCCTCTAGCTTTCAGCTGCTGCAGAGGGAGCCATATAGGGGATCAGTTCCAATAATTGTCCCTCCCCCCTGCCACCCCATCACCCTCCCTGTGCATCATACTTTACCTCTGAGGCCCAGACCCCCCTGTATGCCCCCATATCCGCATTTCTGCCAGCTTCCCTCCTCTCCTTCCCACTGGCAGCTGCAAGCACACAATAGGATCCTTCAGGATGGAGAGTAGGGGAAGGATCCGATAAATATGTCACATTTTTATCAGCCCCTTCCCTTCCTGAATGAACACAATGAGGGGATTGGTGCCAATCACTCACTGTGTTCATTCATAACTGAAGCATAGTAAACTGTTTTTTTGGTTTTTTTTTTCAAAGGGGCCCTGTCAGGTTGGCTGTATTGAGCCCCGTGGTCTCTTTTTTTTTTTATTTATATCTTTTATTAAGTTTTAATTTCTTTCAATAAATTAATCACATCGATACCATCTCATTACAATCCATATATATCATATCCCCTCCTGCCCCCCCCCCACCCCACCCTCTCCCCTCCCCCTATCCCATCCCTCACATCTGTCCAATAGGGTCTTTCTTATTCTTCATTTAGGGTTTTTTACCTTGCTCTTTGGGATTAATGTTTTTCCTTTTCTCCTTAATATTCTCCCAACTAATTAGGGCCCCATGGTTTCTAACAGCAGCCCTGTCTGTACTGTACATACAATGTATACACTGCGCTATCCTAAACACACATCCAAACCCCAAATGCCATTTCAGTATCACAGTGCACCACAACAAGAACCAAATTACCTTGAAGAAGAACAATGATAAAAATATTGTTTCCATTCATGCTGACACATAAATAGCTGAGAAGCAACTGACGTGATAAGTTGTACGCTCCTCGTTTTACTTGAATGATGCTTCACCTACTAAAATATAACAATAATAATTATAACAAATGACAAAAACTGCATTCATCAACAACATATACAGCACAATCCATTACATGACAACAATGGTAATAAAAACTAAAAAAGTTAAAGTGTTGCTCAGGGGCGGACTGACCATTTAGAAACTCGGGCACTGCCTGAGGGCCCGGGGTCAGTAGGGGGCCCCATAAGATGCCCCTGGTACATTTTTTTGAGTTTGGGCAAGGACACAGGGGCCCCATGATCCCCTATTGCCCAGCGGCCCCATGAGTTGTCAGTCCGCCCCTGGTGTTGCTAAACCCTAGGGCAGCACAGTGGCTAAATGGTTAGCACTTTCGCCTGGCAGTACTAGGATCACTGGTTCGAATTCCAACCATGGTACCACCTGCCTGGAGGTTGCAAGTTCTACCTGTGCCTGCGTGCGTTTCCTCTCACCCTCCAAAGAAATGATGCTAGGTGAATTGAATCCTATCTAATATATATAGAATTTATTTTTATTATTGTACAGGATTTATATAGCGACAACAGTTTGTTCAGTGCTTTACAAAATTAAGGTAGACATTACAGTTACAATACAATTTGGTACAAAAGGAAAAAGAGGGCCCGGCTCGTTAGAGCTTACAATATACTGTATATATATATATATATATATATATATAACAATTTGAAGTGACAGTATCTAAATACACAAAGAAGGATAAAAGCACAAATAGAAAGATTCTTTTTTTTCAAGTATATTTCTTCTACACTCAGAAAAAAAATGTATATATACATTATATACAGTATCAATATGTTGTATATTATATATACAACATAGCCAAAATCCGCACGTTCCTAACCCCAGAAACCACTAAACAGCTCATCCACTCCCTCATCATATCACGACTCGACTACTGCAACTCCCTCCTCACTGGCCTGCCTCGCCGCTGGCTATCCCCGCTTCAGTCCATCCTGAATACGGCTGCCAGACTCATTCACCTTTCCAACCGCTCCATCTCCGCCACCCCCCTCTGCCAATCCCTCCACTGGCTTCCGATTGCGCAACGGATCAAATTTAAAATCCTAACACTGACGTACAAAGCCGTCCACCATACTGCCCCGAACTACATCACTGACCTAATATCCAAGTACCGCCCAACACACACACTCCGCTCCTCACAAGACCTCCTTCTCTCTAGTTGCCTGGTCTCCTCCTCCCATGCCCGCCTGCAGGACTTCTCCAGGGTGTCACCCATCCTCTGGAACTCCCTTCCCCAAGCCATCAGATTATCACCTACTCTCCTCTCCTTTAGGCGCACCCTGAAAACCCACCTCTTCAGGGAAGCCTACCCCACCCCCTGCTAATTGCCGATCTCCTCCACTCTTCCTACCACTCCATCCCCCACAGCTATCTCCTCCTGTGCCACCATCCCCTCCCTTCTAGATTGTAAGCTCGAAAGAGCAGGGCCCTCAATCCCCTCATGTATCGCATTGTATTGGTATTGTTCTGTCACATGTTCTGTCCCCCTTTGTAATGTACAGCGCTGAGCGAACTATTGGCGCTTTATAAATACTGTATAATAATAATAATAATAATAATATATATAGATTACAGATAAAAATAAATGGCATGAAAATGCATTTGCTATGCAAATATAATTACTTACAAATAACTACAAATTAATTGTGTTATATGAGTGATGGATTAATGCATTTATTTAAGTTATCCAAAAGCAAGAAACATCAGACCATAGAAAAAAAGTAGAAATAACAATTTGAAGTGGCGGTATCTAAATACACAAACAAGGATAAAAGCACAAATAGAAAGATTATTTTTTTTCAAGTATATTTCTTCTATACACAGAAAAAAAAAAATATATATATATATATATTTATATATATATATATATATATATATATATATATATATATATATATATATATATATACTATATATGTATATATATATATATATATATATATATATATACAGATAAAAATAAATGGCATGAAAATGCATTTGCTACACAAATATAATTACTTACAAATAACTAAAACTTAATTATGTTATATAAGGAATGGATTCATGTATTTATTTCATTTATCCTGTTTGAGGTGATTGTAGCCGTATTAGTGTACTTGCGACAGAAACAATTGAGCACTGTCCGTGATACTTTTTTTATTTGCACTAACATACAATTTTGAGGACAAGCTTTCTGGGTATGTCCCCTTCTTCAAAGTCCAAGCAGTACTGTACAGTACAGCTTGGACTTTGAAGAAGGGGACATACCCCGAAAGCTTGTTCTCAAAATTGTATGTTAGTGCAAATAAAAAAAGTATCACGGATAGTACTCAATTGTTTAATTTATCCGAAAGCAAGAAGCATCAGACCATAAAAAAAAGTAAAAAATAACAATTTTAAGTGACAGTATCTAAATACACAAACAAAGATAAAAACACAAATAGAAAGATTCTTTTTTTCAAGTATATTTCTTCTATACTCAGAAAAAAAAAAATATATATATATATTACAGATAAAAATAAATAGCATGAAAATGCATTTGCTATACAAGTATAATTACTTACAAATAACTAAAAATTAATTATGCTATATGAGGGATGGATTCATGCAGGGGCGGACTGACCATTTGGAAACTCGGGCACTGCCCGAGGGCCCGGGTCAGTAGGGGGCCCCATGAGATGCCCCTGGTACCTTTTTCATAGGCTTTTTTTGAGTTTGGGCAAGGACACAGGGGCCCCATGATCCACTATTGCCCGGGGGTCCCATGAGTTGTCAGTCCGCCCCTGGATGTAGAATATTAGAATTTTCATGGCTCCTTGAAGTACTATTTGTAAGAGAAGCATGTGAAATTCGGAGTCTTTTTGTAACTTCTGAACTTCTTATATTTAGCAATTGAAGCCCTGGAAGGAACATGGACAACCTATATTATTTACACCATCACAAAATATTTTAAATTCTAATGGACAAAAAAACAGTTACAGAACCCAAGAATGCCTTCCTTGGGAGGGCCATTATAGGTAATACAAGCCTAGCTGTTCGAAGGTTTCCATGATCCTGTTACACCCCCCGTTCCACGTTCCAGTGCCAAATCTTTCCCCTGTTCACATAGCTAGCAGACAGACCCCTGTGTTCGCCTGAATGCTCTCTTGTAGTACCCAGCAAATTCCAGTATATGTGACCCATGTTCTCTTGTAGTACCCAGTGCATTCCAGTATATTATTATTATTATACAGTATTTATATAGCTCCAGTTGTCAGTCCGCCCATGGATTCATGTATTTATTTAATTTATCCGAAAGCAACAAACATCAGACCATACAAAAAAGTAAAAATAACAACTTTAAGTGACGGTATCTAAGTACACAAACAAGGATAAAAGCACAAATAAATGATTTTTTTCAAGTATATTTCTTCTATACTCAGAAAAATTAAGAGATTTTCTGTAAATTTTGTAGTTTTCCAGCAAAATCAGTTTGCTGAAAGCACTCAATTCATCCCTAGAGTGCCTATTATTATAGCATATCCTGGTATGAAGCCTTTACATAATGTTGGTTAACAATATGCAACCTGATCCAACATGTTCATTAGCTGAAATCTCCCAAAAAAAAAAAAGAGTTTACAAGCATCTTTTTTTTGTAAATAAAAAAATTTACAAATGTAACACAATGGAACACCTGTAACGCTTTAAAAAAATGGAAAAAATAGAAATCAAATCGGTACTTACTTGTGTACTGTAGAGTCTCGACAGCAGCAATGGTCCACCACAATTTTCTAAATACATTGTAACTTCTTCTTGTTTTACTCAATTTCCTTGGTGGCCCAAACAAACAGGGTAATTTATGTTTGTCTGCCACCGTACACTGCACTGACATTCCGTTTGTGACGAAATTCATATCCAGTAAATAATAGTTCTCTTTTTTTTTTATTTTTCTCCACCCACCCTTCACTTCAACCCCGTCAACACTTTCTGTTGCAATCAACTCAAAGATAACACAACTGCTCTTTGAAGTATGAATCTTGTTTACCCCCAAAGATAAGTGAATAAAGGAAAATCCAGAGATTTCGACAAGCGGGTTTTGATTGTGTGTGTGTGTGTGTGTGTGTGTATATATATATATATATATATATATATATAAATATTTTTTAAATATATATTTTATATATATATATATATTTTTTTTTTTAATATATATATATATATATACATATCTCTCTCTCTCTCTCTATATATATATATATATATGTAATATATATATATATATATACAGTGAAGGAAATGCGTATTTGCTCCCCTGCTGATTTTAAATGTTTGCCCACTCACAAAGAAATGATCGGTCTAAAAATCGAATGTTCGGTGTAACACTGAGAGACAGAATAGCAACAACAAGTTCAGCAGAAATGCATGTCTAACAAATGATGCACTGATGAGGGAAATAAGTATTTGATCCCCTATCATTCAGCAGGATTTCTGGCTACCAGGTGTCTTTCATACAGGTAACAAGCTGAGATTAGAAGCAGTCTCTTAAAGGGAGTGCTGCTAATCTCATTTTGTTACCTGTATAAAAGACACCTGTCCACAGGAGCAATCAAACCATCAGATTCCAAACTCTCCACCATGGCAAAGACCAAAGAGCTGTCCAAGGATGTCAGGGACAAGATTGTAGACCTACACAAGGCTGGACTTCCCCAATGGCTGCACCCAGGGCCGCTGCTCCTCCTGCCCACCCCTTGTAAAGGCCCTGGTGAGGAATAAGGGAGGTCTCTACATTTCTTCCGGGACATCTTCAAAACATCCAAGGTTGCCAGGGACAAGATTCAGGGGTGGACTGACAACTCATGGGGCCCCCAGGCAATAGGGGATCCTGGGGCCCCTGTGTCCTTGCCCAAACTCAAAAAAGCCTATGAAAAAGGTACCAGGGGCATCTCATGGGGCCCCCTACTGACCCTGGGCCCTCGGGCAGTGCCCGAGTTTCCAAATGGTCAGTCCGCCCCTGACAAGATTGTAGACCTACACAAGGCTGGACTGGGCTACCAAACTATCGCCGAGCAGCTTGGTGAGAAGGTGACAACAGTTGGTGCAATGATTTGCAAATGGAAGAAACACAAAACAGCTTGCTATGGGGGCACCCAAGCAGGTGTTTTCCCAAGCCACTGCTACGTGTGTCCATTCACACACAGAATCAAGGCTTGGCCTCGCCCCCTCTCTCTCCTCATTGGCTGACTGCCTGTGGTTGAGAACAGTGGGAACCAATGGCTCCCACTTGCTGTCTCAGCCAATGAAGGGCAGAGACCAGGGCAGTCGAGGCTGTTGTGCACATTGATGGATTGCAATGGGGCTCAGGTAAGTATTGAGGAGGCTGGGGGCACTGCTGTACACAGAAGGTTGTTTTACCTTCATGCATAGAATGCACAAAGGTAAAAAGTCTTGAACCTTTACAATCGCTTTAAACTACCATTTTATTTCTTTGCAAATGTCTTTAGCTATGGCACATCTTACAGCAAGAATTTAAAAAATTGCATTTGAGTCTGGTATGAATTTTAAGGGGGTACCCCTCACAAACAAATGTGTGTGAGGTCCCCAGGAAATCCAAACAGACACTTTGGGGTTTATTTACTAAAGCTGGAGAGTCCAAAATCAGACTCCCTTCTGCATAGAAACCAATCAGCTTCCAGGTTTCATTGCCAAAGCTTCATTGAACAAGCTAAGGTTAGAAGCTGATTGGTTTCTATGCAGAAGGGAGTCTGATTTTGGACTCTCCAGCTTTAGTAAATAAACCCCTTTGGGTCTGGTACAAATTTTAAGGAGGTGGCTCCATTAAAAAAAAAAAGTGTGAGGTCCCTTTAAAAACCCATACCAGATGCTTAATCCAAGCCCGAGCCCTGGTTGACCAGGAAGGGGGCCAAGCATGTGCCCTTTCTCCAGAACACATACTAGGTCACATGCTCTGACCACGGGAGGGACAACCCCCTGGCAGAGCCCATTGTCCCTCTGCTGATGATCCATCCTGCGGGGATCGTCGGCTTTCTTTACAACTTACCTTTTCTTGGAGCGGGTCCGGTGTCACCCCATATAGGTTGCATGTGGACGATCCTGTGGGGTGGCACCGGTGTATCAGCAAGATACAGTGAGGAACAGAAGTATTTGAACACCCTGCGATTTTGCAAGTTCTCCCATGGTTCTCCAAATCATGGAGGGGTCTGAAATTCACATTGTGGGTGCATTCCCACTCTGAGAGACAGAATTTAAAATTGCAAACAAAGACTTCTGTACCAAATATTAACACGGATTTTCTCAGGTGTTCAAATACTTATGTTCAGCAGTGCAAGACAAATACATTCTTTACAAATCATAGAATGGGATTTCCTGAATTTTTTTTTTTAATTCTGTCTCTCAGAGTGGGAACGCACCTACAATGTGAATTTCAGACCCCTCCATGATTTCTAAGTGGGAGAACTTGCAAAATTGCAGGGTGTTCAAATACTTCTGTTCCTCACTGTATGTCTCCCATGTAGATATGTCCCCCTGAAGCAATTGCGCATTTCCCGGTTTCAGGCACGATCAATCGATGATAGAACTACTGCTATTATCGATTGATCGTGACTGAAACAGGGACATGCGCAGTTGTCCCGGATCCGCTCCAAGAAAAGGTAAGTTGTAAAGAAAGCAGACGATCCCCGCAGGATGGATCGGATCCATCCTATGGGGATCATCGGCTTGCTTTACAACTTACCTTTTCGTGGAGGGGGTCTGGTGTCACCCCGTGCGGTCGGTGTTATCTGGTGCGCACCCCCCGCACCTGGTCAACTCAAACTGGGCGTCTGATGAAAAAAAATAATGTGTCATTGTAACACTCTCAGGTATTCATTTCTTCTCATGGAGATCACAGCACTCCCTCCCCCTAAAATGCAGCCTTCTGCTTTTCACTCCAGAAAGACAGCACCATCTTTGTTCAGGTGTCCTCCAGGGTCAGAGCCATGGGCGTCCCTAGGGTTGGTGTCACCCAGTGCGATAACCCTCGGTGACACCCCCTCCGACGATCCCCGCAGAATGGATCGGATCTGCAGATTGAGCATAATGGATGGGACTCCGATCCGATCCATTATGCTCCCCAATCCGCAGATCCGATCTATCCCGCGGGGATCGTCGGCATGCAACCTATACTGGGTGACACCGGACACACTCCATGAAAAGGTAAGTTGTAAGCCGACAATCCCTGCAGGATGGATCGGATCTGTGGAATGGGGAGGATAATGGATGGGACTCCGATCCATTAGGCTCAATCCGCAGATCCGATCCATTCTGTGGGGATTGTGGGAGGGGGTGTCACCAAGTGTTACCGCACCGGTGACACCAACCCTAGGGACACCTCTGTGTGTAATATCAAGGTCAGGATTCAGGGAAATAAATCAGATTTTAAAAATAAAAAAATAAAAATCTATTGGGAAGACGATTTCTTGCAAGCAGTGGTTCAGTGAGATGCATGGTACCAATTTTATCAGATGGCATTACTGTATGCTCTAAATTTTAAATACAGCATGTTCAAAAAATATCCAGAAATGTGTTTTCTATGTTTGTATTATATTGACTTAATAATTACAAAAATATAGAAAATTGTTACAAAGTTAGGAACAAATGTGGCAACATCTGTACAGTCTATATACAGTATATAATCGCATGTGTTATATAAATGATCCCGCCGTAAAGAATCATTTTTATGCATTCGCTAATGTTTTATTGACGCATAATTGACATTTTCTCCGTAGCTGTCATCATCGATTACATCTTGCCTTCTTCCATTGGAGGGGTGTGCGATCGTGGAATATTCAATATCTGTTTCTGCTTGTATAAACTGTTCAGAAAAATGGGAAGATGGTCATGGTTTTTGCAATTGATCAGTTATACTATACCCACCTGATCCTAATATTGTGTAATGCTAGATTGATATCAAATTTGTACATCAAAAAAGAGAAAAGGCCTTACAAACAAAAAATGAGCATTTAGCTTAGCATGTAGATTGGTGTTATATTAAAGTGTTACCAAACACCGGACCCTGCATTCACTATATCTGCTCTCCCCGGACCCTGCATTCACTATATCTGCTCTCCCCGGACCCTGCATTCACTATATCTGCTCTCCCCGGACCCCGCATTCACTATATCTGGTCTCCCCGGACCCTGCATTCACTATATCCGGTCCCCCCGGACCCTGCATTCACTATATCCGGTCTCCCCGGACCCCGCATTCACTATATCCGGTCTCCCCGGACCCTGCATTCACTATATCCGGTCTCCCCGGACCCTGCATTCACTATATCCGGTCTCCCCGGACCCCGCATTCACTATATCCGGTCTCCCCGGACCCTGCATTCACTATATCCGGTCTCCCCGGACCCTGCATTCACTATATCTGGTCTCCCTGGACCCTGAATTCACTATATCCTCTCTCCCCGGACCCTGCATTCATTATATCCGCTCTCCCCAGACCCTGCATTTACTATATCTGGTCTCCCTGGACCCTGCATTCACTATATCCGCTCTCCCCGGACCCTGAATTCATTATATCCGCTCTCCCCAGACCCTGCATTCACTATATCTGGTCTCCCCGGACCCTGCATTCACTATATCTGGTCTCCCCAGACCCTGCATTCACTATATCAGGTCTCCCCAGACCCTGCATTCACTATATCCACTCTCCCCGGACCCCGCATTCACTATATCTGGTCTCCCTGGACCCTGCATTCACTATATCAGGTCTCCCAGGACCCTGCATTCACTATATCAGGTCTCCCCGGACCCTGCATTCACTATATCCGCTCTCCCCGGACCCTGCATTCACTATATCTGGTCTCCCAGGACCCTGCATTCACTATATCTGGTCTCCCCAGACCCTGCATTCACTATATCCGGTCTCCCCGGACCCTGCATTCACTATATCCGCTCTCCCCGGACCCTGCATTCACTATATCCGCTCTCCCCAGACCCTGCATTCATTATATCTTGTCTCCCCGGACCCTGCATTCACTATATCTGGTCTCCCCAGACCTTGCATTCACTATATCTAGTCTCCCCGGACCCCGCATTCACTATATCTGGTCTCCCTGGACCCTGCATTCACTATATCAGGTCTCCCAGGACCCTGCATTCACTATATCAGGTCTCCCCGGCCCTGCATTCACTATATCCGCTCTCCCCGGACCCTGCATTCACTATATCTGGTCTCCCAGGACCCTGCATTCACTATATCTGGTCTCCCCAGACCCTGCATTCACTATATCCGGTCTCCCCGGACCCTGCATTCACTATATCCGCTCTCCCCCGGACCCTGCATTCACTATATCCGCTCTCCCCAGACCCTGCATTCATTATATCTTGTCTCCCCGGACCCTGCATTCACTATATCTGGTCTCCCCAGACCTTGCATTCACTATATCTAGTCTCCCCGGACCCTGCATTCACTATATCAGGTCTCCCCGTACCCTGCATTCACTATATCTGGTCTCCCCCGGACCCTGCATTCACTATATCTGCTCTCCCCGGACCCTGCATTCATTATATCCGCTCTCCCTGGACCCTGCATTCATTATATCCGCTCTCCCTGGACCCTGCATTCACTATATCCGGTCTCCCCAGACCCTGCATTCACTATATCTGCTCTCCCTGGACCCTGCATTTACTATATCCGCTCTCCCTGGACCCCTGCATTCATTATATCCGCTCTCCCTGGACCCTGCATTCACTATATCCGGTCTCCCCAGACCCTGCATTCACTATATCTGCTCTCCCCGACCCTGCATTCACTATATCTGGTCTCCCCGGACCCTGCATTCACTATATCTGCTCTCCCCGGAACCTGCATTCACTATATCTAGTCTCCCCAAAACCCTGCATTCACTATATCTGGTCTCCCCGGACCCTGCATTCACTATGTTCGCTCTCCCCGGACCCTGCATTCACTATATCTGGTCTCCCTGGACTCTGCATTCACTATATCTGGTCTCCCAGGACTCTGCATTCACTATATCTGGTCTCCCTGGACTCTGCATTCACTATATCCGCTCTCCCCAGGACCCTGCATTCACTATATCTGGTCTCCCTGGACCCTACATTCACTATATCTGGTCTCCCTGGACTCTGCATTCACTATATCTGGTCTCCCTGGACCCTACATTCACTATATATCTGGTCTCCCTGGACCCTGCATTCACTATATCCACTCTCCTTGGACCCTGCATTCACTATATCAGGTCTCCCCGGACCCTGCATTCACTATATCCGGTCTCCCCGGACCCCGCATTCACTATATCCGGTCTCCCCGGACCCTGCATTCACTATATCCGGTCTCCCCGACCCTGCATTCACTATATCCGGTCTCCCCGGACCCCGCATTCACTATATCCGGTCTCCCGGACCCTGCATTCACTATATCCGGTCTCCCCGGACCCTGCATTCACTATATCTGGTCTCCCTGGACCCTGCATTCACTATATCCGCTCTCCCCCGGACCCTGCATTCATTATATCCGCTCTCCCCAGACCCTGCATTCACTATATCTGGTCTCCCCCGACCCTGCATTCACTATATCTGGTCTCCCCAGACCCTGCATTCACTATATCAGGTCTCCCCAGACCCTGCATTCACTATATCCACTCTCCCCGGACCCCGCATTCACTATATCTGGTCTCCCTGGACCCTGCATTCACTATATCCGGTCTCCCAGGACCCTGCATTCACTATATCAGGTCTCCCCGGACCTGCATTCACTATATCCGCTCTCCCCGGACCCTGCATTCACTATATCTGGTCTCCCAGGACCCTGCATTCACTATATCTGGTCTCCCCAGACCCTGCATTCACTATATCCGTCTCCCCGGACCCTGCATTCACTATATCCGCTCTCCCCGGACCCTGCATTCACTATATCCGCTCTCCCCAGACCCTGCATTCATTATATCTTCTCTCCCCGGACCCTGCATTCACTATATCTGGTCTCCCCAGACCTTGCATTCACTATACCTAGTCTCCCCGGACCCTGCATTCACTATATCAGGTCTCCCCGGACCCTGCATTCACTATATCTGGTCTCCCCGGACCCTGCATTCACTATATCTGGTCTCCCCGGACCCTGCATTCACTATATCCACTCTCCCTGGACCCTGCATTTACTATATCCGCTCTCCCTGGACCCTGCATTCATTATATCCGCTCTCCCCGGACCCTGCATTCACTATATCTGCTCTCCCCGGACCCTGCATTCACTATATCTGGTCTCCCCGGACCCTGCATTCACTATATCTGCTCTCCCGGAACCTGTATTCACTATATCTAGTCTCCCCAAACCCTGCATTCACTATATCTGGTCTCCCCGGACCCTGCATTCACTATATCTGGTCTCCCCGGACCCCGCATTCACTATATCTGGTCTCCCTGGACTCTGCATTCACTATATCTGGTCTCCCTGGACTCTGCATTCACTATATCTGGTCTCCCTGGACCCTACATTCACTATATCTAGACTCCCCGAACCACAAAAAGAATTCTAGATATGCAATCACATAAAATGCACTATGCTTAATAAATTTTAGAGAGTCATTTTAACATATATGTTTACATATTTTTGTAAATGCATTCCAAAAATGTAGATTTGTATTTTTAAAGACATAAAGTGCATTTGAAAATGTATTTTTAAAAATATTTTTTCATATTGTAATAAAAATGCATTTCAGCATACAGTATATATAAAATATTTTGAAATATATTGAATACGGCCAAAATTGTAGCATTTCAAATATATGTCAATATATTGGAGGAGAATATATTTTTAAAATATATTTCAAATATATTTTTCTTCCATGTGGGCACCTCAGCACACAAAGCCTTACCTCTTCATTGCTATAGATGGCGTAGCTTTGTTCCCTGGACACACGAGATGAATACCTGAAACCAGAACAAGATTATATTTGTAATGGGATTTTCAGCTTTTTTTTTTCTTTACACACCGTAGGAAGTTGGGATCCTGGTGGAGCTTCCTAAGAACATCTAATACAAAGAGAAGTATGGTAAGAGAAACTTACGGTGATCGCAGGGACCTTGGATGGACCTTTGGTTTCATGTGGATGTTTCCATACTGGTGTTCTTGCACTAATGTTTTATCTTGGTCTCTTATGTTCTGAATTAAATAAAAATGAAATAAAATAAATGAACACAAATTTTAGACAGTGTGCACAGAGATTGTTGTAAGAAGGAAGAGAGGGAAAAAGGTGGCGCCACTAAGTGCAGTATTGGGTTCAACTTTAATGAAGCACGGTGAGAATGTAGACATAGCTACATATCCAAGGAGGGGGTTCTCTCCTCTCCATCCCACAGGGACCGCCAGAGTCCGATGATAGTGCTGGAAGTTGGTTCAGGGAGGCAATCTGAAGTAGAGCAGGAAATTACCCAGCCAACCAGCACGTAACGCATGGACGGATGTGACGTCACCAGAGGACGAACACAGAGGACCGAAAGGGGATAGCTGTAATCACAGGCTACGCGTTTGGAGCCTCTAGCTGCTTCGACAGGTGGGATCCTGTCTTCTAGTTGTTGTGCAATACCTCCATCATATACAGTGGGGATCGAAAGTTTGGGCACCCCAGCTAAAAATTTGTATTAATGTGCAGAAAGAAGCCAAGGAAAGATGGAAATCTCCAGTGCATGCTATAAATTCTGCAGGGTGCCCAAACTTTTGCAGACGCCATTTTTTTGTTTTCTGTTATTTTGAAAGTGTAAATAATGGAAATACAATCTAACTTTTGTTGACATATTATAAGAATGTCTAATCTGTAATTTGAAGCCTTTTGGAGATTTTTTCATCTTTCCTTGGCTTCTTTATGCACATTAATACAAATTTTTAGCTGGGGTGCCCAAACTTTCGATCCCCACTGTATATACTGTATATATATATATATATATATATAATTTTATTTATTTATTTTTTTCAACTGATATTTTAAAGTGTATGAAAAGCCAAATAATGTTTGTATTTGGAGCGGGAAGAGTTAAAGCAATATTAAATTCTTATTTTTTTAAGAAAAAAAATAACAAATACATTATTCTGACCTGCTCTGTGTGGTGGTTTTGCACAGAGAAGCCCGAATCCTCCTCTTTTTGGGTCCCCCATTGGCGCTCCTGGCCCCTCCCTCTTGCTTAGTGCCCCCAGAGCAAGCAGCTTGATCTGGGGGCACCCAAGCAGGTGTGCACCAAAGCTGTAGCTCTGCGTGTCCATTCACACACAGAGCCATGGCTTGGCCCCGCCCCCTCCCTCTCCTGATAGTCTCACTGACTGTTATTGACAGCCAATGGCTCCCACTGCAGCCATAGCCAATTAGGAGTGAGAGTCCCTGGAGAGCTGAGGCTCTCATGGACATCACTGGGTCGAGAGGGGACTCATGTAAGTATTAGGGGAGGCTGGGGGGGGGGGGTACTGCACACAAAAGGTTTTTTACCTTTATGCATGAAGGTAAAAAGCCTTGAGCCTTAACAACCACTTTAAAACCTTTGCCAGTTTATTTTTTTTCCTGTCTTTGTCCTGCTGGGTACATTTCCCTTCACTTCCCACCAGGGGCGGACTGACAACTCATGGGGCCCCCGGGCAATAGGGGATCATGGGGCCCCTGTGTCCTTGGTCACACTCAAAGCACACCCAAAAAAGCCTATAAAAGGTACCAGGGGAATTTCATGGGGCCCCCTACTGACCCCGGGCCCTCGGATAGTGCCCGGGTGCTCAAATGGTCAGTCTGCTCCTGCTTCCCACCCTGGAGAAGCAACAGGTAGTGAGAGGAAATCTCTCCAAAATGAGGGGAGTTCTGATCTGATGGTCTTACAGGAAAAGATGTTCTCAATGGAAGATTTCACTTCACGCCTTGCTCTCCTGACACCTCTAAAATGTAGGATTTCCCATCACCTTCTGTCTTGGTGACAATGGACACCAGGACAAATAGAGATGGTAAATTTCCCCAGCAAGGGCTCAGATAGGAAATAAAAATTTGATAGAGGGTCTAACCCTTCCACACACATCCAGAACTTTCCATTACCTTTAAAGCCCTTGTCTAGTTTGGACATCTTAACCCGTTTGCACCGTTACCTCCCGGCCCTTTAAGGGTTTCAGAAGCCAGGAGGTGGGGCGGGGTTTAGGTTTATGTGACCGCCATGACGCGCCATCATGGCGGTGACATGATTGGGAAATGTCCTGAACGAAAGAGGAGATCGGGACCTTTCCGTGCGTACCAGACATGTGTGCTGGGAGCACGTGCGCTCTGAGCACATATGTTCTTTTTTAATAGAACGCAAATGTGCGGCCGCTCGGTGTCCAGGCCCAGACTCCGGGAGGCCGCACATTTGCATTCGGCCGGCATGAAGAGGTTAAGATAATATTGTTCAGCCAACAACCTCTGAAAATGAAAAAGCATCTCCAACTAAGCTTTCCCAGCCAACTACGGATCTCCGCTCCTCTTCTGGGTTGATCGATGCCCAATACCATTCAAACCACTTCTTGTCAGTCCAGGGCATAAATCAGGGGTGTATTTACCACAAGGCAAACAAGGCATTTGCCTAGGGCAGCATTTTTCAGGGGGGGCAGCACTGCCCCTTGGAAAAAAGGACGGAAGAAGGGACGCAGGCGGCATGGGGACCTGTTGGGTTCTGAGAGATGCTGCGGGTTTCATGATGGTGTACGCACAACCCGACTCTCGTTCCTGGGGATGTCCGGACCTGTGAAGGTGAGTGTCTTTCTCTCTCTCGCCATAGGGGATGGTGGCTGGTGTATGGGGGGCAGTGGTAGTGGAAGGTTCAGATGGATGGGGTGCTCTTGGTCAATATCAGGCTCTTTCTGCGGCGAGGGGGCCCCAATTTTTGTGTTGCCTAGGCAGCACAAAACCTAAATACACCATTGGCATAAATGCTCTGTCCCCTGGTCCTGAACTCAAGGGAGGAATGATGGAGGGGGGAAATTATGGCATTACATGGCTTTGATCAAACACAGCAAATACTTTATTCCTGCGCTGGGATAGACTCAGAAGAGGCTAGGATGACAATGCAAATGTTCTGCAATATGCACTGCTTGCTGCCCTCAATGGACTGGGGTAGTCCAAAGTCACTGAACTTCAATCCATACAGCATCTGAGTCCACAACGATGGAACCCCGGATGACCAACTGGCTGACGCATTTCGAGGACTCAGTCTCTTACTCAGAGCCAACCTCTGGCTAGAGTCCTAGAAACGCATCAGCCAGATGCTATATGGATTGAACACCTTTGTTCATTGTGATGTGCCTGTGTTTTTATACGTCCATTGTGAGTATGATACCTACTTTTTTATTCTTTCAATAAATTGTTTAAATGATAATGCACTAGGCCAGTGCGCCCTCTTTTTGTTTTTCTTTTGCATTCAATTACATGGCTTTGCTCTTTGAAGCATTTAGGATCTGCCTCCCGTTGGAAGGAAGAAGAGGGCAAAGATAGCTTGTGACATCAATGGACCAAGAGGAATGAACCACTGCAGAATGGGAAAAGCTTGGCCAGATCTAGGCCTTCACTTCAATAAAGATCCAAGTAAACACACTAAGACAAGCAAGGATTACATCAACTATACTCACTGGAAAATCAGAACGAATTTCACCATGTATTGGAGATAATGGAGCAGTTGGCTTTCTTTTTCCCCTACCGAAATGATAAAACAAAACCAAACTAATACAATCCATAAGGACAAACAAAGAAATTACATTATTTAATCATAGACATCTTGTTGGCCAAGTAAGCTTGCACTTCTCTCGCCCATTTGGGCATTCAAGAGGCGCCAGTATCACATCGGCTGTGCCTGCACCGCTCTTTAAAAGAAGTAATTGTCTACAGGTTGCTCTTAGAAGAGCAACGCAGGTATAACCAAGCCTTTAAAGTGTTATTGTGAGCACACTGAAACATTTTGGAGGTGTTATGGGTTGGAGAAAACTGAGCAATAGTTGAGCCTTCATCCCAGGCATAACCGGTTGAGGACAACAAAGAAGGATATGAGATGACACTCCTTCAAACCATTTTTCTCATTAGCCCTGATGGACTAGTGAAGCCTGAAATGCATCAGTTACTCCACTGACTCCCATTTTGGAAATATAGAATCAACTGGACCTAACAATCTTGGTTGACACTCTCAATTCTTAGAATACCATTTGGCACTGTAACTAAAACTGTCTGAGACCAAAAACTGAGCAATAGTTGGGCCTTCATTCCAGGCATAACCAGTTGAGGACAACAAAGAAGGATATGAGATGACACTCCTTCGAACCATTTTTCTCATTAGCCCTGATGGACTAGTGAGACCTGAAATGCATCAGTTACTCCACTGACTCCCATTTTGGAAATATAAAATCAACTGGACCTAACAATCTTGGTTGGAACGCTCAATTCTTAGAATATCATTTTGCACTTTAACTAAAACTGTCTGAGACCAAAAACTGGCTATGGTTTCCTTAGGGTGACTTTTCTGCCTTACCTTGTATAAAAGAAGACAATCATCACAAGAAAAAGCAGAAGGATGACTCCAGCCAAAACCCCCAAGATCAGTGGTAAATTAGCACGGTCTTCAGCCAAATTTGAATTGGATGGATTGTCTATGCAGAAGAAAATGATGAGAGCTTTAGTAGGTACAACAAATGCTCAGATACTGAGCAATGTCACATAGAAAATAAAACAACGAAATCCAACAAAATATAGTAGACATTCTGGGTGGGGGCGGGGGAAGTTATTCATACACTGGATTGACCTCCCATTACAGTTCATGTTAAAGGAACCCACAGTTGTGTAGTAGTAAGTAGAAGTGTGTATAAGAAAGAAGGGGGTTGAAAGGGGAAAAAAAGGCCCTGTTTCCCTGCAACAGAAAGAATAATAATGTCAGGGTCCTGTCCACGGCAGAAGTTCTGCAAGATCTAGAATTTCTGCCAGTACTCTACATGGCCGCAGAAGTACACATCAGCCTCAGTCTGGTGCCAGACGGTCTTCATAAGGAGGCTCATCACTTCCTCAAGTTACTGGATGATCTCTAGCTCCCCGTGCCCTGCTCCTGGTTCCTGTGATCCTGACCTGTGATTTCCTGTTACCGACTCGGCTTGCTCCTGGACCTGTCTACTCTGATTTACCCCTGATCTGACCTCGGCTTGGCTTACAGATACTCTCTCTCTCTCTCTCTCTCTCTCTCTCTCTCTCTCTCTCTCTCTCTGTAAATGACCTCGGCTATCCCATCTGACTACTGCTCTGATTCCCACCTTGTACCTGACCTTGGCTTGAGCCAACTACCCAGTAAACATCTAAATCCCAGAAGGGCTTGCATACCACGCACAGGCACATCCTGTCTGCAGACCTATCTCTCAGCTGCAGCAGCTGATCCATTCATTCTGTGCCCATGCATAAGTACTAATCTTTCTCCTTCCCCTGTAAGGGAAGGGGAAGGATCAGCACTGTACAGTGGGGATCGAAAGTTTGGGCACCCCAGCTAAAAATTTGTATTAATGTGCATAAATAAGCCGAGGAAAGATGGAAAAATCTCCAAAAGGCATCCAATTACAGATTAGACATTCTTATAATATGTCAACAAAATTTAGATTTTTTTTCCATCATTTACACTTTCAAAATAACAGAAAACAAAAAAAAATGGCATCTGCAAAAATTTGGGCACCCTGCAGAATTTATAGCATGCACTGCCCCCTTTGCAAAGCTGAGACCTGCCAGTGTCATGGATTGTTCTCAATCATCGTCTGGGAAGACCAGGTGATGTCAATCTCAAAGGTTTTAAATGCCCAGACTCATCTGACCTTGCCCCAACAATCAGCACCATGGGTTCTTCTAAGCAGTTGTCTAGAAAACTGAAACTGAAAATAGTTGACGCTCACAAAGCTGGAGAAGGCTATAAGAAGATAGCAAAGTGTTTTCAGATGTCAATATCCTCTGTTCGGAATGTAATTAAGGAATGGCAGTCATCAGGAACAGTGGAAGTTAAAGCAAGATCTGGAAGACCAAGAAAAATATCAGACAGAACAGCTCGCAGGATTGTGAGAAAAACAATTCAAAACCCACGTTTGACTGCACGATCCCTCCAGAAAGATCTGACAGACACTGGAGTTGTGGTACACTATTCCACTATAAAGAGATACTTGTACAAATATGGTCTTCATGGAAGAGTCATCAGAAGAAAACCTCTTCTACGTCCTCACCACAAAAATCATCGTTTGAACTTTGCAAATGAACATATAGACAAGCCTGATGCATTTTGGAAACAAGTTCTGTGGACCGATGAGGTTAAAAATTGAACTTTTTGGCCGGAATGAGCAAAGGTACGTTTGGAGAAGAAGGGCACAGAATTGAATGAAAAGAACCTCTGTCCAACTGTTAAGCATGGGGTTGGATCAATCATGCTTTGGGGTTGTGTTGCAGCCAGTGGCAACAGGGAACATCTCACGAGTAGAAGGAAAAATGGATTCAATAAAATTTCAGCAAATTTTGGATGGTAACTTGAAATAGTACCATTTGATTGCTGTGATGACCAATCACAGCAATCACATGGTACCAGCCCATCAAATTGGCTGGGTCCAGTGAGGGAAACTTAATAAGAAAAGAGCAGCTAGAATTTGGAGCAGCTGTGCATGACAACCAATCAGCTTCTATCTGTCATTTATCAACCCTTAAAGTGGTTCTAAAGGCTTTTTACCTTCATGCCTTCTATGCATTCTGAGGAGTGACGGAGTGAAACAAAGAAGCATTCACATACAGTTTGTGCTCTGCATAGTGATCTTGTCATTGACTAGTATGCAGGGTCCCTAAAGCCTAGGGTTCAAAATGTAGGTGATTTTTAGTACAGGATCAACAGGATTGCTAGCGTGCTTTGCAAAAAAACATTTTTTTTAGGTAGGGATAAAAAGACATAGCTGTAAAAATGTAAAATATTTTCCTAAAATTGTATGCAATTGTCAGGGCTCCAGGTATGACCAGAGGTGTGTGGACTGACACAGGGAAACGCAGGCTTCAGATATGGTATAAACAATATAATTTATTAAGACTAACAATACAAACCGCAATGCAAAACTAAACATAAACACAGTGCAAACAAACCAAACCAAACCACCCACTGATAACAATACATACAATACAAAGAATAGTCAGGCAGGCCAGGTCAGTAGCAAACGGGCAAATGGGAGTACCAGGAACAGGCGGGAGAGTGGTCGGGGTCACAAGCTGGGTTCAGTAACTCACGGGCAGCGCGGTACAGAGGGTCAGGCAGAGAATGGTCAGGGTCACAAGCCAGGGATCAAGCAGGAGAAGTCAGCAGAGGTCAGGATCAGGCAGGGTCGGCAACAAGTCAGACAGGAACAGGAACAGGAACAAGAACACAGGATACAAAATACAGGGGCCCATGGAAAAACACACACCAAGGCCCTGACTGTGAGTCTGGCCATTCCCTTAAATACAACCCCCGCAATCAGCTTCAGGTGTTTGGCTGATTGCAGGGGTGAGTCTCTGATTGCTGAGAGCACCCGCTGGCCAGCCCTGGTACTGCAGCCCACAAGGCAGGTGAGTCCCACCATTATTGGCAAGTCCATTCCTGACAGCAATATAAAAATTAATTTTATTCCTGACCTGTAAAATCCATCTCTGTGGAGGTGGAGCTTCCAGCTGTGTTGTGAGCAATGCAGGAGTATGAGCCAGATTTATCTCCATCGCTGTCTAATACCAGGATCTGTTCGCTTTTATTTATTAGGATATCTCCATCCTTGATCCAGGTGTAAACGGGTCACATTGGGGTTGCTACTCATAAAAGTGCACTGTAGCTCAGTGGCTCCCTCTGCTGGGTGATGCGCAACAACTTGAACTCCAGTAGCAGCATCTACAAAATACATAAAATGCGTTGAAAAATCATATATTACAAACTAAAGGTTTGTCTCGATTATTGCCGAGATATGATATACATACATTGCACAGATATCTCTATTGGTGGTGATTCTCCTCTCCCAAGATTATTTATTGCAACACAATAATAGGGTTCCGTGTCTTTGCTGACATTCAATACTCTGAACTTCTCCTCTCGAGAGTTTAACTTCATTTTGCTGTTCCCGCGGTACCATTCATATCTGAGTGGAGGAGGGTGAGATCTGCTGGAGCATGTTAGAGTCACATCCCTACCCTCCAAAATCTCTTCATTTTTGGAAAAGCTGACCGTCACGTCTTTTGGTGCATCTGGTGAAGAAGAGAATATTTTTTGCTTAACCCCTCGCCCTCCAGAGGATTTACAGTCCCCCCCCCCCCCCCCCTCCTTCCTGACCAGGCCATTTTTTGCGTTATGGAGCTGCATTACTTTAGCTGACAATTGCGCGGTCATGCAATGCTGCACCCAACGTCCTTTTTTTCCATGAATTGAGCTTTCTTTTGGTGGTATTTGATTGCCTTTGCGTTTTTTATTTTTTGCGCTTTAAAAAAAAAGACTGACAATTTTGAGGAAAAAAAACAATATTTTTGACTTTTTGCTATTAAACATGTCCAGGAAAAAAATGTAAAAAAATCAAATTTTGTCATAAATTTAGGCCAAAATGTATTCTGCTCCATGTCTCTGCTAAAAAAAAATCCCAATACGTGTAAATTAATTGGTTTACGTGAAAGTTATAGCGTTTAAAAATGGCGGTATAGATACTGGGATTTTTAATTTTGTACATTTTTTTATTTTTACTAGTAATGGCGGCAATCAGTGACTTATAGTGGGACTGCGGCGGGCATTCTGATACTGGGGGGGAACTGACTTGGTGTCACTGACATCCCCAGTGATATTTATGCATTGATCAATGCCAATAAAAGCACTGACACTGTACTAATGGCACTGGTCAGGAAGGGGTTAACATGAGGGGTGATCAAAGCGTTAACTTGGGGCTGTGTCTGTGTGCTTCACACCGCTTTGCATGACTGTGCTGTGAACGTTCTTGCCGGCGTTCCCGCAGCCTGCGGTCGATTTGGATGGCCACCTGAATCAACTCTTCCAGTGTGTTGGGTACATCAACTCTGGCCAGCTCGTCCTTCAGAGATTCGGACAGGCCCAGCCGAAACTGGTGACGTAGAGCTGCGTCATTCCATTGTGTATCCCAAGCTGATAGGGAGAACTATTTTGTTTACAAACAGTTCTCCAGCCCCCTTGGAGATGCTCAGCAGTCACAGGGCGCCGGCAAGTGATCACCGGCCGGGAATCGGTGATTGACAGCCGAGGCCTCGAATGCTATAGGGCGGACGGGAAGCTCCTAAAGGGAAATTCCACTTGAAACCATTATTTCTATTTTTCTTATGGACACGTTGACTTCTCTTAGAGCCTTTCATGGGGGAAGTATGAAGGCCACCTTTGCTGGCCTCTTCCTGAAAAGGCTAATTACCTGTCTAGGTTTCCCTTTAGACCTCGTTATTTTTGTATTCATTTCAGGTCAGCTACTCATACAGCATTAAAGCCAAGTCAGCACAGTGGCTAAATGGTTAGCACTTCCACCTGGCAGTACTAGGGTCATTGGTTTGGATCCCAGCCACGGCACCACCTGCCTGGAGTTTGCATGTTCTCCCTGTGCCTGTGTGGTTTTCCTCTGGGTACTCTGGTTTCCTCCCACACTCCAAAGACATGCTGGTAGGTGAATTGGCTTCTGTCTAAATTTGCCCTAGTATGTGTATGTATGAATATAAGTTAGGGACCTTAGATTGTATGCTCCTCAGGGGTGGGGACTGATGTGAATGTACAATATATATGTAAAGTGCTGTGTAAATTGATGGTGCTATATAAGTACCTGAAATAAATAAATAAAACAGCCAGAGGACTGGCACTTACAAAGGAAAAATATTCACTACAAGGTTTGCAAGTGTTCCCAATCATTGCTGTCATTAAAATGCCAAACGATGGCTCCTCTACAAGTAAAAATACACCAAAAGTTGATGACACAATTTACTGAGGAGGAAATATCATTGTTGGAGTCTTTAACCTCCCTGGAGGTATTCCCGAGTGTAGCTCGAGGTAAAGTTTCTGTACCAAAAGCGATAACCCCGAGCTACACTCGGGCTTACCATGCGGCGCTGCATAGGGAGTCCCTGCAGAGCTTACCTTGTCCTTCGCTCCCGCGATGTGTCCCCTGCAGCGTCCCCGGTCATCTCCTCCGGCTGATGCCGGCATCCGGCTTCTGTGTTCCGGTCCCTGTGACGTCGGGACATATGGGCGGCGGCGGGAAATTTGAAACTTTTAAAAAAATATCATTTTTTTCAAAACGAATTTTACATAGTAAAACATTGCTGTTTCAAACCATTTCACATACATTTTGTCCCGAGTGCTTTGTCCGGCGCCCTGCCTGCATTTTGACTGTTCTTTCTGCCTGGAAACTTAGAAAAGTCCAAAAAGCGTCAAAAGCGGTTTTAGACCGGCTAGAGAACAGCGATAGTAAATCAGAACCACTTGCAGAATTGAGTGATAATGATTCGTGGGGGAAATTCCTCATCAGACACTGAAAACGATTCTGCGACTTTGCTCAGCGATGTGCGAACTTGGCGCTATATTTCAAATTTCAGTGTTTTTGGTTTGATTATATTATTGAATTAAATGTATTATTGTTATTTTTTATGATTATTTATTAAATTATAATTTATGATTTCGTGTTTCAAGTTTTATCATACCCGGGATGTTTACTAGACTCTTGTTCGGACAGATTTCAGGGAGTTATTCCTAAAAATTACAGCCTACAATAAAAAAACTACATATTTCCATGCAAAATAATGGTACCTTCAGCTTTCAGCACCAAAAATCTGAAATAATCATACCGCCAGGGAGGTTAAAACAATGAAAGAATAAGTTAGGGAGTCACTATTGCTGACCGAAAGATCAGATATCCCATTTACTTTTCTTTAGATACTTAAAGTCACCTTGTTTTTTGGGAGCCGAGGAACATCCTGGTGGTTTCCAGTGAAGGGTTTTGAGGCCAAAAACTCATCTAAATATAAAGTGACTTCAAAAACTATCTGACCGTTCATTTTGACCAAACCCTCTTGGGCCGCCTAGTACTGCTGGGTTATGATATACGTACATTGCACAGGTATCCGTGTTGGTGGTGATTCTCCTCTCCCAACTTGATTTATTGCAGCACAAAAAAAAGGTCCCATGTCTTTGCTGACATGCAGTACTATGATTAGTGGATCTTCATTTCTTAATTTAATTTTGTCATTCCCGCGGTACCATTCGTATCTGAGTGGAGGAGGGTTAGATCTGCTGGAGCATGTTAAAGTCACATCTTTACCCTCCAAAAACACTTCCGTGTTGGGTAAGCTGACCGTCACGTCTTTTGGTGCATCTGGTGATAAAGAGAATATTTTTTTGCTTAAAAGACAATTCCACTATAAACTTTTTTTTTCTTGTTATTTCCATTTCTCCTGCTTGTTGATGAATTTCATGACATGCTGACTTCCTAACTCTCTCAGGACTTTCAATGATAAAATATTCTCCGCACAATTTCTAGGTGTACCCTACTACGGCTGTCATTAAAAGCCCAAATGGTGGCTTCTCTACAATTTAAAATACACAGAAAATGCTGAGAGGTCATTAAAGGCACAATTTAGTAAGGAGCAAATTGTATTACTGGGGCTTTTGAAACAATGGAATAAGAAGCCAGGGAGTTGTTGGTTATGTGTTATAGAAGACACTGGTAGTGATGAGGCAGAACTATGACTTTACTTGTGTGGCTTAAGTTACAAACATACAGAGCACATTTCATCAGACAGTGATAACAGCAGACAGATTACTTCCTGAAGATGATAGAGAAGAAGAAAAGAACCAACAAGTTTTCAGATATACACAACTAGTAACCTTTAGTGTATAGTGCCATCTACTGGTCAAGTGATATTAACACACAATACTATATAGTACATTATAGTACATGCTGTTGCATTCCCAACAGGAGTCACCGTTGTCAGCCCAAAGGTGCGATAACCCTTCGGTGTTCTTTAACTCCTTAAAGTATATGTAAACGCTCACCTTGTAACACAACCCATTCAGTTGAAAGTAGAAAAGAAAGGTAAGGCTGGCCATACATGGGTCGATTTTCGAACGACCTAAGAATAATCGGCCAATTTTTTGCTCTGTTAGTGGGGCAATGGCACCGGACGATTTTCGTGGTTCTTCCCCATTTCGTTTATCGGGCATGCTGGAAAATTCGTGAGAAATTACCAATTTTCTAAATCATTGGTGGCACCATTACATTACAGAATGAAAGATGTTTTTGGTTTTCAACCCATGTATGGCCTGCTTAAAACATTTGTGTATATACCCTCACCGGCCGCTTTATATTTCAATAATTTGTATTGAGTTTTTCAAGGGTACACAAGGAAAAAACAGGGAAAAGATAAATGGTTCAGTCATACAATATTACAATAGACAAAATATGGTTGAGCATTTTGTTGTAATTCCGTTCTTGGACGGATGAGGTGTTGGTCTTGTTTTAGCAATAACATCAGAGGTATTCGTGTGTATTTGATGAACTTTGGTGATGAGATTTTGGGGGTTATGGGGGGGTGGTATTGGAGGGGAGGTGGGGGAGGATAGGAATGAGGGGGGAAGGATATAACTGGGAAATTGAGGAGATACCAGTCTTGGTATGGGATGTGATTTCATCTCTTGAAATGTCATCGGGGTTGTAGAAAACATTTTGGGTGATTTAGCCATCGGGTCCACTGGGTATTAAATTTGTGGTAGGAGGAAGTGTTGATTGCGGATAGTTTTTC